TTGGCACAGCTGGCTTTGCTTGCAATTCGATGAGTGTGCGTGACTCTTACATAACCAGGCGGGCCCTTGGCGCTCCCTGCAAGCGTCCTTCTTGCATGGCGGAGTCGGCACGAGGACATGGCTGCGATGGCGAGCAAAAGGCTCTGCTGTGGGAAGCCTGGGAGAAGGCAGGGGCAGGCATGCCATCTCCCTCTTCCTGCTCCTGATGGCAAGCAGCAGGGGAGAGCACATTCTGCCAGACACAGGAGCCAATGGCAGGCTGCTGGTGCAGTTCCCATGGTAACAGCGTCCCTGAGGATGCTTTGAGAAAGGCGATTGCCCTCCATCCGCCAAGACACAAGGAACAGGACGAGTGTTGTTGTCAGCTTCGGGACAGTTCTTTCCCGGATTGTTCTGCTTGAGCAGCTTAAGGCCCTACTATTTGGATTCTAGCCGGCCTAACACAAAACATTTTGTTCCCGGGATGAACAGCATGATAACACACCCCTAATCCCGTTGCCAAAGCTGGCGGGCTGGTGCACGATTTTGCTTTGGCTCCGGCATGGGCACAGCAGCCTCCACTGCACAGAGAGCAACAGGGTTGCCTAAGGGTCTAGGGCAGGCCATGCGTGCCTCTGATACCTGCAGCCATGGCCTGCTCACCACCTGCTACCTGCTGCTGAGAGGCTGTGACTGACCCAAAGGCACCCAGTTGGCTCCGGGGCTGAGTGGGGACTAGAACCTGGGGCACCTGGGTACCAGACCCCCTGCACCACACTGGCTCTCACCTTGCTCCATCTTGGCCTCGAGCGCAAATTTATTTTTAAAAGCTGGATCCAGGAGAAATAAAAAGATCAGCGGAAAAAGAGATGTGCTCGTAATTGTCCCTGGCTTGCTTTTGTGACCACGTCACATCTGCCCATGCAGAGAGAACATGGGTGCCTGCAAACAAAGGCCCCAGTTTTTGTGATTCCTCGCCTAGCAGTAGTTGATCAATAACCGAGCAGTGCTCAGGGCTGCCAAACCGCAAGCCTGTGTGTGTGTGTGTGTGTGTGTGTGTGTGTGTGTGTGTGTAAGAGAAAAGCACAAAAACAGCCCCTCCTCCTGCAAAGCTCAGGATAGAGTAACGTGGTTCAAGTCGTCCTGGCTTCTTGCTTTTCACCTTTTTGCAGCTTCCGCCTAATATCAGGGGAATGGTTTTCGAGCCTTTCTACGAGGAAAGCATGTGCTCACGATTCCTTACCCCTAGCAGTTTATAGATCCTTTAAAAGATATAATGTTTCCCATTTCTTTCTTTTTTTAGAGCAGGGGAAAAGAGTATCCTTTCTGAAAACAAAATAAGTCCTTGTGTATTTGCACTGTCTGCTGTTTCACGGAGCCATCTAGAGATCACAAAATGGAAAGGCAGAGAAGAAAGCAGGGCTTGGGTCCTAGTTCTGCAACAAACAGAACGTGGATACAGCAAATTGTATCTCTTTTGTGTCAAAAAGCGCTTTACTTCCACACCGCACTTGGCTCCCGGGCAAAAGGTGCGTGCAGCCGTGGTTCCCCTGTACAAGTCACCCTATGTGCTCCCGCTGCCGCCCCGTTCAAGCAGCCCCGGCTTTGTTCCCCAGAACCAGGCACATTTTTGAATGGTCGCTTCCATGCAAATGAGCTACCAATAACAAGCACGTTCTTTGGGAATGGTAGCTAACCGTTTAGACCCACTGAATGCCACCCGCATGCGTCTGTGTGATATTCCTCCATAACAAAACCAAAATCAAATCAGATATATATATATATGGAGGAAAAGAAGGAATGTCAGCACTTGCCCTGCGATAAAGGTACCTGTAACTGAAATCGCCTGAAAGAGCTAGAAACTGGAGAACAGCCTTGTAATGTTGTAAGCCGCCCCGAGGCCTTGGCAAGGGGCGGCATAGAAATGTTTTAATAAATAAATAAATAATGTAATCCTGAGAATGAACAGGTCGGCCTCTAAGCAGGTTGGAATAGCTCTTAGCTGGACATGGCAGAATTGGCTTTTAAGGAAACATACGCGTCTCTGTGTGACGCACTGGGTGAATCCATGGCCACTGCCCCTCCCCTGCCATGGGGTGCCCCATAGCCTGCTGAAGGATGGATCTGTCCACTGGATCCCCATAAAGGGGAAGCTGCTCCACTGCAGCAGGGAGAAAGCTGCCACAGTTCTCTCCCCCAGACTAGTCCCCCCACCAGCTTCAGACTGCATCAACTCCAAAATATTCCCACCTGTGAGGAACCACATGGTGGCTGGAGATGCTGTAGCAGCCTCCAAAAGTAGGCATTTAAATGGGAAGCCAGTCTCTGCCTCTAAACCTGGCCTGCCTCACAGGGTTGTTGTTGAAAGGAGAGCGACCTGGAATTCATCGCTAGGGGAAGAAAGGTAAAGTATAAATGAAATGTAGTAATAATTAAAAAATCTGCATGCTCATACTGGTCTCCCCAGGATTCCTTTTTAAAAACTGGCATTACATTAGCTGTTTTCCAATATTTTGGTGGAAAGGGTGATCGCAGAGACATGGTACATGTTTTGGTAAGAAGGTCAGCCATTTCATATGTGAGCTCTTTAAGAACTCTAGGATGGTATCATCTGGGCCTGATGGTTCATTAGCTCTCAGTTTGTTACCTGGGTCAAGATTTTAATCTTTTGTCACTTCTGTGTGCCTAATTCCTCACACTCCCTTCCTGAATACACAAGTCCAGGAACAGGTATCTGTTCTCCATCGTCAGCAGTGAAGATAGATGAAAATTGTTCTCTGCATTCTCCATATCCTCCTTCAGTTCTCCTTTAATTCGATTATCATCCAGTGGTCCAGCCACCTCTCTGGCTAGTTTCTTTCTTCTGATGTATTGAAAGCATTCTTCATTGTTGGCCTCGCTGTTGCTGTGATATGCTCCCCAAATATTTCTTAGCTTCTCTTATTGTCCGCTTGCATCTCCCTTACACAAGCGTGTGCTCCCTTTCGTTTTCCTGATCTGAGCAGTTTCAAAGGAATCCTCAGTAATTGCTTTCTTGACTGTCTAACACACTGGTGACTTCTTGCCACCTTTTGTAACTTGTGGCACGCATTCTATCTGTGCCTCCATTACTGTGGTTTTGAGTCATCTCCAAGCATTTTGAAGGGATTTTACCCTCGTGACTCCCCTCCTCAACCTCTTCTTTTACCGACGCTCGCAGTTTAGAGACATTTCCTCTTTTGAAGTCAAATATGACTGTGCCAGTACAGCTGTACCAATGCTGATAGTGCCCACCTGGGGGGGGTGCAGGAGAGTTATTTCCCACTACAGAAGTTACCTGACAGCAGACAGAAGGTGAAACAGAATGGTTTACACAGCCAAGAGTGAAAAAATGGGGACCTGTCAGGGGCTCATTCACCATTTTGCAAGAGGAACCTCAGGTTTTCTGTGGGGGATCGTGCCTCCATGTTTCCCCTCAGTTTTGACCATGGCACTCCAGATGAGGCCTCACCAGTGCTGAGTGAAGGGGAACCAGTTCTTCACTGGACGTGATACTTTTATTAATGCAGCCTAAAATAGCATTTGCCCTTTTGCAGCTACATCGCATTGTTGACTCCCATTCAGCTGGGGATCTGTAACAATGCCAAGATCCTTCTCACTTGCAGAATCGTTGAGCCAAGTTTTCTCCATCTTGTCTTTGATGTCATTTGCAAATCTGATCAGTTTTCCCTGCATTTCCTCGTCCTCAGAAATTAAGAGCCATTCAGATGAAGAGCTAGGCCTTGAAACTGTCCATCCATGGCACCAGGAGAGTCGGCTGAGCAAGACACGCAGGTCTACCTGGTCAGTCCTCCACACTAATGAGGAATACAATATTTCTATTTAAATATTTCCATTTTATTTAAACCACAGCAACTATGAGAAGGCAAGGCTCACCGTCAATCAGGTCCACCGTGTTAGGGAAAGTCCAAGGCAGAAAATCCAAGACCAGCTATGAGATGGATGATCTCCAGAAAGAAAGCCACAACCTTGAGTTTACAAGAGCTGAGCGGGGCTGTGAAGGACAAGATCAGCACCACGCAAAATGTGGGAAGAGTTTGGTTTATGTTCTGCACTTTCCATTGTGTAGAATATCTTGCATTTTTATAGAATTCATTCATGTTGTTATACCCTTTGCTATTTCACCAAAGTAGGCAAAGATCCGTGCTGCCACGGTCAGGAAACCTGTCCTTTCATCCAGTTAATACGTTTCTCTGAAGCTGCATTTGCTGTGTGCTTTATTCAACAATTATTTCACGAGTATTGCTCTGGGCCTTGGGAGACCCAGATTCAGGCGCCCACCTGGCTGTGAAGCTCCCTGGCTGACTTTGGGCCAGTTATTGTCTCAGCTTAACCTACCTCACAGGATTGTTGTGAAGATAAAATGAAGAAGTGACTCATTACCTCTGGCTCCTTATGAGAAAAGGTAGGAATAAATGTAACAGAATAATGAATAATACCCTTCGTGCCAACCTGTTGCATTTTATTTCTCCTTTCACTTTCTTAATTGCTTCAGGCTGATGCTTTTCAAGAGAAACGCCATGCTGACAACCGCAAACTTCCTCTTTTAAACTGCACCAGAGGCTCAGTTTCCTTTGTTTATCTTCTTCAGCACCTTTGCAGTTAACTGCAGCCTCGGTGAAAGCAACCTGTCAGCTGAATCCTCAGAGCTGATCAGCTGGAGTCCGCTGACCCTGATCGGACTAAGCTTTTCCCAGGCTGTATACTCTGGACTGCCCTCGGGGACAAACAGGACTTCCTCAAGTGGTTAGCTCTTCACCTGCCCATCAGGGGCATTCCAAGGCCAGGGTCCATGGGGCTCAGGCCCCGAACCTATCTCCCAAGACCCTGGATTTGTTCTGCAGAGCCCTGAGTGTTTGTTGGTACAGACTGAAGAGTTTCTGCCCGCTCCCCTTGAGGATAACCCCCTAGAAGGATTGTAGCGGGGCTAGGAAGGGTTAATCTATTTTGCATATGATGCTAATAATAATACTCATATCAGTGCAAAATCACCAGGAAAAGATCAAAGAGATAGCAGGTTTTCTGCTGCCTGACATTTGGACTTTGTAGCTTCCATCACGTGCTGTGCTATCTGTTTGCTTTATCTGGCGAATAGAACGGGATCGCTGGGGCACGAAAGAGCAATATAATCGGGAAGCTTACCTGGGCTTCTTTTCTTACCTGGGTTGCACCACAAACTTCTGCAAGACCCAGGCACTGGCAGAGGCACCGTGAGCCTCTGGCCGATATTTTAAGCTTTCCTCAAAAACCTTACCTTGGTGAATCTCCAGTCTGTAAAATAAGAGATGGCTCGTTTCTCCTCTTGTATCTCATGGGTCTGGACGGTCCTCCTTCTGGACGGTAGGTATGCTGGTGGGAGCCGTGGGCAACCTTCTTTGGTGTGTGGAAACCTGGAGGGAGGACCTTGCTGCAGCACCACCCGAACAGCCTGGGCAGTTCCCGTGACCACCTTGGCATGGTGACTGTGCCACTTGGCTGCTTTGAAGGGATCCACCTGGGCTGATCTGGCACACGGTGTCACAGGTGCGGGAACTGGTTCACTGGGCACCTGGTTTACCATTTGCATAGATTTACCCTGCAAACCCGCGTTCCTCGACATCACAGGGCCGGCTGATGGAACACGTCCAGCAGCTCATGACTGCAGTGGGACAGCCTTGCCTGTGTTGTTTCCCAGTGCCAGGGCAAGCCAAGCGACATCTTTTAGGCCCCTCTTAAAGGACATCTCTTGATCCAAGTCTTCTCTGAATTATTGTGCTGTCCCAGTAGTTTGTTTACTAATTAATGCACTTTTATCTTAAATGTTTTTAAACATATTAATGGACAAGTTTTTGTATCTGTTATGCCTTTTTATCTCTTTGTATGTGTAAAATGATTTGAGAGACCTTTGGATGTGGTAAACCGTGATGAGTGGATTTAGCAAATCGGTGCAGGATGCCGTGGCAAACTCGGCATCCTCAATTATGTGCTGGCTCCTGATTTGGCACAGAGAGCAAACCGTTGTTTATTTAACATGCAGCCCTGTGCCTGTTTAGACAGAAAAATGTTCCACGGCTCCAGCATTCTGCAGCCAGCTGTAGGGCACGTTTCGGTCTAAACACGCACGGGGCTGCACCCTAAAACTGCCATGGCTCACACAAATAGGATGACACCCTTAAACTATGAACCGTCCCCTGAGATCAAGTCCCACTGGACTCAGTGAGGCTGACTTCTGACTAGATGTGTGCAGCTCTGCAGCATCTGCCCGTTAGCATTTCACTATTACTGCCAAAGGGGCCGGGTACTTGTGGAATTTGCTGCCCCGGGTACCAAAAATAACTTTTCTGGCCTTGGGTATGATGGACCTTGACTTGGGTGTGGAGCACCATGGGTTGTGCCAACTCTTTTGAGTGGGAAGCAGAATAACTTGCGCAAGCACTGGCTCCTTGGGGTTACCCTCTGTTTCTTTTTCCCTGGATAAGAAAAACCAAAGCAATCTGGAGCGCTTTCAGGGAAGACTCAACATTTGCGGGGGGGGGGGGCAGCTGAGCAACTTGTTCTGCCCCCCAGGTCTGCCCACCAGCACTCTGCCAAGCAACACCTGCCTCAAAAGGCGCAGCTCCATGGGCTGCCAAGTTGGAAAGCATACAGGACTGCTATTTTGTTTGTTAGTTCAAAACAGCATTCATTCATTAATTTCCTTTTAAAATCATCTCATACTTGATGGTCTCCGGGCAGTTTATAGCAATTCCTCAAACGGGGCCATAAAGCGATAAAAACCATAAAATTTTCCAAAGTGCAATATTATGCAACTATATCCAGATTTAATGCAAGATAAACCTGTTTAAGTATGTGACCCATCCAGCTCTTAAACGGTGCCTGTAAATGCCGTGGCAGAGAGGGATGTCTTGCCCTGGTGCCCAGAGGATGGCACAGTCCGCACCTGCCAGGCCTCCACAGCGAGATGGTTTCACAGTCAGGAGGACACCCCTGAGAAGGCCCTCCTCTTGCTGTCACACTCCCTGTCCTACACACTGCTCTATTTGTTAAAAAAATAAGAAAATCCTGAGTAGTTAACAGCAATTCAAATAAGATTTTTTTAAAGTGTCAAAGTATACAAACTAAAAATATCAGAAATCAAATTGTGCCAGTAAATCAATGGCCGGCCTTTTATTCAGGAAATGCTTGTTTAAATAAAACTGTCTTTAGCAGAAGCCAGAAACAAAGCCATGTGGACACTTTCCTGACATCAAATGGCAGGGAGTTCCACAGACAAGAGCCTGTACAGGAAAAGCCATATTGCGAGGGCACTCAGACAGATCTCAGGTCCCTGCCCAGAGCGCTCCTTCAATGACCTCAGAGCCCAGGCAGGTGGACAAGGAGGAGGTGTGCTCCCCAGTGAGTCGGGTAGATCAGAGATGGGGAGCTGTTCACTCATGCTCTTAATCCAGCCGGCAAAGCGTCCCTGGGTCTCTGGGAAGTCCTTGTTGCTATTTCTGACCTCAAATCGGAAATCGGCAGCGCGGGACTCACTGGGAGGAGTGGGTCTTCCAGCGCTAGCCCAGTCTCTTTGTCTGCCAGCTGCGTGGCTGCGCCTCCCCACCCACGGCCCAGAGAAGGGCCTGGCAGCTGGTTCTGTCGGGGCAGCTCCACTGGAAAGCCCATGTGCCACTGAGCCTGGCCCTGGATGAAATACTGACTGGAGCTTTGGTGAAGAACTGGAGGGCAACTGGGGGAGTCCGTGCCCCCAGCCCTTGGCTGGCCTGCAAAGCCCTGGGATGGAGGGACCTTTGGCCCAGCCTTGGAGTTGATGATGCTGCTCTGGAGGAACCTGCGTGAATGGTCTTAGCACGTCGCCTTGGATGGAGGGCAGCTTCCTAAGCCCAGACAAGGCTCATATACTCAGGGTCGAACATGTGGCATCAGCACAGAAGGGCGAGAGACGGCCGCAGACAGTAAGCTGGCTGGACCAGCCCTGCCTCACTTTGTCACCCAGGCCAGGAAGACATCATAGCCTTGACCTGAAAATGTCTTTCGCCAGTCCAAGGGTGCCGGGAGAGACCAGAGCCCCCCTTTTCCTTTGCTTGCGTCACAGCCTGGCATGAGATTAATGGTGCCACTTGCCACAAAGACCCGGTTAAACCAGGCATGGCACAACTGCAGGCTCTGGACCAATCCAGCCCACCTGGGATTTCAAGATGGCTCTCCAGAATTTCCCAGAAGGCTGTGGGACTCTCCTTGGCCCCTGCCCTGGCCCACGTGCCCTCAGAAACGGACATCCCATTTTCAGCTTCACCAGCTCTTATCTGGGGATAGAATCTGCACAAACAGCACCAGCACAGGGCTAACAGTGCATGGCTTACCGGGGAAGAGCCAAGTCGGACAACAGAAGGCGTCTTTTTGCATCAACAAATTTGCAGGCAGTGTGATCTGCATAATACAACACTTCCACAACAGGTAAAATAGCCACAATAGCATATTCCGTTCATAAACTGAATGGATTTAAATGTTTTAAAGTTTAAAAAAAATCAGAGCTGTAGCCATGTTAAAGATTGAAATTATTTAAAAAGTAACAGATTTTAAAATTTTGGTGGAAAATACCAACTTCCTTCACAAGTTGGAGTTTGTTGCAGCCCTGCTTAAAAGCTGAGTGAGAACCCATCAGGAGCAAGGCACTCCGGGGCCAATCAAGGGCCCACAAGGCACTCCAGGGCCAATCAAGCAGCATTAATAAACATCATGGCTGGTTTCAGCTCATCTTTTACATGGATATTGGATCTCAGCTGATCAATAAACATTACCTTCTTAATCTTTCTCCTTTGGAGGCTTTGTTCAACTGTTCCTGCATTTAACATGCAGGCTTTGAAAATGCCCATATGTTGGGTGGGTAGGTTGGAGGGAGGATTTTAACCCTCCCTTCCCCTGCTTTGGGAGAATATCGCACTTTTGGTCCTGGGATTGGCGCTAAAAGGGAAGCCCTTCCCATTCCATGCAGCACCTTCATAGGGGAACTTTTCTCATGCAGGGGAAGAACAGGCTAAACTCACCTTTTTCACATCTGCTAGGATCCCAAGGAGTGTACTTTTATGTGAAAGAACGGTTGTGTTCAGTTCAGTTCTGATACTCAAAAGAGATTCCTGGATGCAGAATTCTTCAACACCGAGTGCATCTTTTGCTCCGGGCTCTCATTGGTAGGGCAGATAATCCCCAACCCTGCCCACCCTGGCGTACATTTGCCCTCCACCCTGGGGTCGTGCGTTCTCAGAGCTGTACAGGGGGAAAGAAATGTTAGAAAGAAAATACAGTGGAGAAATTAATAATTGGACTTTCTACTAAGATTCTAAGGTGGAAATCTTACATCTATTCATCTGGAAGCAAGCCTTATAAACTCAGAGGGTTGTAGCCAAGGTTGGTTTAATGAACCATTCATTTCACTGGGCCTACTCTAAGTAGGAGTAACATCGTACACAAGCCAATAGCACTTACTACTGACCCGCATGCATAAGCATTGCACCATTATGGTTACAAAACAGGATTACACATGGAAATACCTTCTTGTTCTTCAATGTGTCAAAACTTTGATACTGTTTTCGGTTTCTGAAGGGGTGAGCAATTTACAGCCCTCTGGGTTAGACTACAAGCCCAATCATTCCTCACTACTGGCTAGGGCTGATGGGAGTTAAAACATCAGGAGGGAATCCAAGTTGTCCTCCGCTGAGATGCCGCTGGAGTAAATAAATAGTACTCCAGGATGCAGTTTGCTTCTTTCCTTCAGCAGCCAGGTCCTGATCCTCTTTCTCCCCACCAGCTTTTTACTGGCCCCTCTTAGGTGACTTTTGCTGCAATTTGAAATGCAGAAAATGAAGCACGGGGAAAGTTTTCCTTCCTCAGGGGGAAAACTGTGAGGAACTGGGAACGTTCTATTTCTGCATGTCACCACCGGGCTATAAAAATGCAGGCGGAGGAGGGTAGGAATCAAAGCAGACTCTCCCCCGCATTTTCCTTCTGCCCCATTAGTACTCCCCAAATACGCATGTGATGCCGGCCATCTCTCAGCTGCTTCGCTAAGCACATGCTCCCAAAAGAAAAAATTGCTGCGTACTGTTCAGATGATGTCAGCCTCTGCCGGCTGCCAGCAGAAAGAACGTGGCACATCTGGTGCCAATTCCCAGTGCGCATGATGGCTCGCTTGCCATCCCGGCTGATGGAGCAGCCCGCGCTCCCACCCAGAGCCTGCTCTGCCTGCCGGGAGCCGGCCTCAGTGCCGCAGACGAGTTGACACGAGACCAGTGGCTCCCACTTCGCACGACGTCCTCTCTCTTCCCGGAGCCAAACGCTCCTCCCATCCAGGCTTGAGCAAGTGGGCCAGTGCCAGCAAGGCGAGCAGCCCTCTCCCCACAAGAAAGATTTGACCAGGCCCCCCTGGAAGTGCCCCCTCCTCACTGAAGCCCCCTTCTGACCGCCAAGGTCACCAGCTGCTCTTGCTCCTCTTCTCGCACAGCCTTCTCAGCATCACCCGCCCCGACAAGCTCTGCTCAGGCGGGAAGATGGAGTGGTGGAAAGGAAGGGTCCACTTCAGACCACAAGAGTGGATGCCAAACTCCCAGCCATGAAAGCAAACAAATGCCCTAGTGAACTGGGGGAAACTTTCCAGCATAGCAGGTCTCCTGCTGTGCTGGTTTTCTGCTTAAGGGAAGGTGGTTTGTTTCTTTAACTTGAGGGAAGGTTTAAAAGCGGAGTTCCCTCACCTGCAGCTTCAAAGGAACTTGTCCATTTGAACAATTTGCAGGACTATACCACTTCACTGTGCTGTACGTATAGACCAGGGCCCACTTATCACCAGCTCGCAAAGGGCCTGTCCACCCATCCAGGTGTCGAAGCACCAGTGCTGGTTAATCCCATGATGCCCTTGTCTGCATGGATCCGCCCGACTGGGTCTTGGGCGCAAGCCTGTTTGTTATTTCTGAACTCTGTCAGTCCAACAGCATCTACAGTCAAGAAAAACAGATTAATGCTTTTTGCAGGCGTGTCTGATTTAGGGGAATTTGTTCTCTCTCTCTCTCTCTCTCTCTCTCTCTCTCTCTCTCTCTCTCTCTCTCTCTCTCACACACACACACACACACACACACACACACACCCCTGGAATATTTGAGCCTCCCCCTCCCTGGCTTTTCAACTTTTTAACAAAGTAAGCTTCCAACCCATTTTACCTGTGCAGGTATGTGGGGAAATGTACCTCCAGAATTCCACGCAGTCCCTCTGTATGTAATAAACCTCTTCTTTGCTTCATGTGTTTTTTATGTGATTGTGGAGCTATAAATTACTACAGCAGAAAAGAGATGTCTAAGCATTAGATGGCTGCTACACACACACACACACACACACACACACACACACACACACACACACAAACATGTGTCCCTAAAGCAGCTGCACTTTTATGAGAACTTCTTTCTTTCTTTCCTAGGTTGTACTGCAGGTTATCTCAAGCAAGCAACTTCTGGATCCAGGGACACCAGAAACTGCACAGCCAACCCTCCGGTGAGGCCTTGAACAGCACTGGAAATAGGCAATCTTTTTCGCGCGCGCGCGCGCGTGTGTGTGTGTGTGTGTGTTGCTGATGAACTATGGTAGTCCAGTCTCAAAGTGTTTGGCATCTGATTTGGCAGCCTTTGACAAGAGCCAGTGCTGTGCTGAGATGTGGTTAGGCTAGAGACGGACCTCCACGGCTACTGTCCAGGTGTACCTAAAGGTTAGACTAGCAGGAATAAATTGTGCTTATTCCCAGGTAATAGTGTTCACAGCAGGGCAGCAGAAACAAACTTATTGTATTGGTGTATATGATGCTAATATGATAGAACTGAACTTAAAATGTGAGGCAGCCCATGCTAAGAGTGCATCTATTATTATTATTATTATTATTATTATTATTATTATTATTATTATTATTATTTCTATGCCGCCCCTTGCCAAAACCTCGGGGCGGCTTACAACATGATAAAATACATTGAAAATTTATTTTCTCAGCAGGGCTGGCGAACAGCCGTGTTCTTGTGTTTGTTTTGCTAACATAGCAGGAATGTAGAGCAGCTGTAAAGCAGGGAATGGCTGTGAGTGGCGGGAGAAAGTTAGGCGGGTGCTTCACAACTGAAGGACCACACTGAGCCATCGAGAGACTGTCCCACACCCCCAGCTGAGGGAGCTGTCCTAAGAGAGCAGCTGCGGAGCCCTAAGTTGCTTTGGATTCCTCGATCCAAGGCTAGAGACAGGTCTCTGCGGGAAAGAAACACATCGGCTACCTCTCTGAGGTCTGAAACACAACTTTGGAGTGAGGGAAAAAGGCACTTTCGTGGGAGGGGAGGGGAGGGGAGGGGAGGGGAGAGGAGAGGAGATACAAGTTATCCTGTGCCCTTCCCAGCGTGGTTCCTCCCTGCATCCAAACTGATTTTGCTAGAAAGGCAAAAAGCCCATACCGCAAAAATGCAGGGTGCAAGCAAGGGGGTGAAGATGTACCCCTCTAAGTCTGAGGCTTTACATCATTTTAGGGTTGTGTCCAAAGGGAAGCATATTTGGCTGAAGGATGCTCAGAGCTGTAGGACTAGTATAGGATTGTACCTTAAGTTCAGGGACTGAAAGTGCCCAAGGGCAGCCCTGATTAGGGCCATTGACCACCCACCATCGTGAAGATAGCAGAGGAACGGTAGGAACAGCCGAGCTGCCCCCCACTTTTTATGCTCACTAGCTTCTGGCCTGCACTGATAAAGCGCTTTGTGTCGTCAGTATTTGCCTCCCACGGTGATCCGAACGGACAAACAGCTGGAAGCCTTGCGGCTGCACATGCAGTCGCTCAACCTCTCCGCCTACATCGTCCCCAACACGGATGCGCACATGGTAAGAGAGGGTGGTGCCGCGGCAGCAACTCCTGCATGACCGGGCCCTGGGGGGCAGGGGGGGGGCCGCTCCGTGACATGCCGGACTACCAGGGCATTTGTGAAACCCCATCCGCCGACCCTGTCAATCAAATTCCCTTTGTTCCTCTGGTATCCTTCTTGGCAAAGCCAGTAAGCACCGCCTTTCTCAAGTATTTGGAAGATGTGCACGACTTCTGCGAATAGAAAGGTCTGACCGGGATGGTGGCTGGCCACCTTCCTATGTCCACTTCTTCTGTGTCCACAGAGACATCTTTCTGGGTCTCTGGGGGGAAGATAATATTCTGCAAGACTTGGACAGGCATCAAAACTTTGGGCATTTTTTGCAGAAAATTATATCACTAATGAAATCTACCTAATCTATTTGTGTGTATTTAGCAATGTGTATACATACACACATTGCTATGCCCGGCTAAGTTTGCATTGCAGCAGCAAACAATATATTGTTGCGGGGAGGATTCTTCCTGCACCCTCCACCGCTCCTGTGAAGATCACAGCAGAGCTCAGAGGGAGCAGGCAATTCTGAGCAGGCGGATCACATCAGTGCCGGTGTGAATAAGAGATTCCAGCCCTGCACCCTGGAGGCCCATTTCCAGGACACCAACCACTGAGCTGTTCCACAGACACTGCCCCCAGAAGCTTCTTTGAACGTGCAAAAGATAGGCATTGATGCATGCATCATATCGGAGCCACATATTTCACTGACATTACCCATTAAGCACGTGCAAAAAACGCCTTTATTTGCTTACTGACTTTAAGGACATTAAGAACCCTGCAAAGTTTTTCCACTGGACATAGAAGTGCAAGCAGGAAAAGGCACCTCAAGATTAGTGCCGGGGAAGCTTATCATGGCCGACACAGAGCATGGATGTTTGCAGACTGAGGTTTGCACACTCAGAGGGACGATAGTTTGATTTTGCCCTGGACCCTGAAGGAGGGCACAAACACGGAGCAGTGAGGACGTGCCGGTGGCAGAACCACATGTATTTTCATGAGCAGGGGGCTGCACTGAGCAGGCACAGAACGGATTGTCCAGAGTAGCTCAGCTTTATTTACCGCCCCCCCCCAACAGTTTCTATTCATCAAGGCAGTAAAAATAGCTTGAACAATTTCTTGCCAGCGAGCAGGCTGAGATGGAGTTGAATGCTATGGTGAGACTTCAGGTTATTCGTATTGTTATCCATATTTATATTCCATTTCCACAAAAGGCCGAAGCTAATAAAAACACCATTAAAAGATAATAGTAAAACTGGCTGGTTGACAAAGTCATCACCATAACAAAGCCATAACTAAGCGTTTGTGCGCAGCTCTCTGTCTTACTAGCAGAAGCTTGTAGATCATGCAAAGTGAAAATCTGCATGTATTCACACAATTTATATATAATTTATGCAGACTGCAGAATTCTGGCATGTTTGATGTTGGTTGCCTAGGTGCAGAGAGTCGATTTTCTTTTCAAGTGCAGAGTAGATTCAGGTCTGCTATTACAACTCAGGCAAGGCAGCTGTTCCAGGTGGGAGCCTTGCTCCGTTGTTTCTTGGTCTGAACATTTTTCTGCTCCCAGAGCGAGTACATTGCCGAACGGGACAAGAGGCTGAGCTGGATGACGGGCTTCACAGGATCAGCAGGTGCGTACTTTGCCAGAAAGCCGGACCGCATTCCCTGATCCACCTGGGCCTCTGGCCCAACCAGCTCCATGCAGCTTATGCTTAACAGGAATGGTTGCCCCCACTGATCAGAAGGATTTCTGAGTACGAGTACTGCGTTCCGGCCCCGGAAAGTGCAGGGAAATAACATCTCAAGATCACTGGGCAGGGACTCTGCAGCCAGGATGGATGGAACAATCTGCCCATTTCCATTTCTTCCTGTTTCTCATGTTTCCAATCTTAACACAGAAACAGAGTGAGTCAGAAGGGGGCTCCTGGGCCATCTAGTCTGACCCCTGGCCCCAGCCAGTTCCACTCATGACATGCCTACCATGTGCATGTCCAGCCTATCCTTGAACATCCTCACCGATGGGGCTTCAGCCATCTCTCGTTAAGTGTCTTTGTTCATTTAATTAATAAAGGGATATATTGCTGCCCATACTTAAAAGTATCTCTAAGCAGTTTACAAGACAATTAAAAGCATGAAAGTGTATCAGAATAGGTGCTGAAGTACAATTCTGATATAGTTGCTAAAATGTGTATAGCAAACTCTGATAAAAACCTTGAAGCCGCTCTTGCTGATGCTGCTCCATTGTTGTTAAGTGCTGTCAAGTAATCCTGCGGATGAGGGTCATCCAAAACGTCCCGCCCATCACAGCCCTCTTGAAAGCTCAGGGCTACGGCTTCCTTCAAGGAACTGGCCCTTCTCAAGCTGCGCTTCCTCTTCTCCTTCTGCCTTGGACTTTCCCTTTTCCAGGGAGTCTCGCCTTCTCCCGATGGGCCCAAAGTAGAACAGCTTCAGTTTTGTCATTCTTGCTTCCAGTTAACATGACTGCAATGCATAATGGCAAATACACCTTCAGGGAGGGCCTCAGTAAAGAAGTCGGCTTTCGCTTGGCAAGTGGGGGTGGGGGCAGCCGGGAGTTGTAGGATTTCCCCTACTAAACATGGATAGGATGGTGTTGTGAGTGGAGAGTCATAACCCTGCTGCATTAATGAACTGGGGAACAGAGGGCTTCTCTGTATGAGGTGTTCAACCCAATGCTTTACTGAGACTGTTTCCTTTGCAGAAAGATTAGAGCAACCTCCGCAAGAGCTCTCCCCCCATATGCCCCACCCCCATTTTCCTCTTTGCCTTTCTATATGGTGCTGTGGGAAAGAACAGAACTACAAAATGACAGGAGGCTTCTGTAGCAGGTCATGGAGTCATCTAGGAAAGTTTGCCTTGCTCTTTAAAAAAGGCACAAAAATGGCTGGGACAACTTGGGAGAGGACCCAGAAGGATGACAAAGTTGCAAAAAGGTCCCAGAAACTTCTGTGAGTCAGGGATCATGAGTGCACAATGGATGCCGAACTTGGAAAGCCAGGTTTCCCACACAGGGCTGAGCTGCGACACCCAGCCCCCAGGGGAGAGCAGCATCCATCCCCGCTGCTCCCCTTCAGGCACAAGGAGCTGGCACTGCCACAGCCTGCGGGGGCTGCATGCTGGGCCACGGGAGTACCTGCTGCGGAGGAGCACCTTCCCCACCAGAGGTCCTGGGGCAGCTCGTCCTTCACCCAGGATTGTGCCCGTGCAGCTGCCGGGAAGGGAGCAGCCCTCGTTGTCCAGCCAGGCACACAGCCACCCTGTTGGAGCCTGCCCACCCATGCACCAGCCTCTGGCCACCCCACCTGCCATCGCAGGCCAAAGGGGCCTCTTGCTGCACGTCCTCTAGTTGCTGTCATTTGCATTTTCTTACTTGTCTCTGAGCAGCTCCGACTGTGTGTGTGCAAGGGCGTGTTTGTCCATGAACTGCACCTAACCCCCCGTGGGATCTTTCTGTCTGGTTGTCTTAGGGACGGGTGTGATCACTTTGCAGAAAGCAGTCCTCTTCACAGACAGCCGCTACTGGATCCAAGCTGAGCGCCAGATGGATTGCAACTGGGAGCTGCAGAAGTCAGGTGAGTCCTCACCCAACCATGCCTCTGCATGCATTGCCTTGGTGCTGGTGCTGGTGCTGGTGATGTTTATTTCTATCCTACCTTTTCTACTCCAACAAGGAGCCCAACGAGGCTTGCATAATCCTCCTCCTCTTCATTTTATCCTTACAACAACCCTGGGAGGTAGGCGAGGCTGAGACTGGGTAACTGGCCCAAAGTCACCTGCTGCGCAGCATTGCCAAGCAAGGACTACAACCCGGATCTCCTGAGCCTGGGGCTTTGCAGTCCAGTCCAAAGCTCCACCCACTGCAGCATGTGCTACTGGGCAGGCGAAGGCTGTCCGTGCCGATCTACACAGACCACGAGTGCTGCCGTGGTGGACCTGACACACTGCAGCTCATCACAGCAGTCTCCACAGACACATCCCCAAGGAGAGTACCAAAATGTACCTGACGATCAGAAGGGAAGCGGTGCATTTTGAACGGCAGGGGCTCAGCATGGCAGTCCGCCTCCGTTGGAGCGCTGGGCTGAAAACAACAGAATGACATTCTGTTGGGACACATGCCAAGTCCTGAACTTAGGTGAAGGGAGCCGAAAGCACAGTTACAAGATGAGGGGGACTTGGGTCAACAACAGGACAAATGAGAAGGACTTGGGCATTGTGGTAGATTAGAAATTGAATATGGGCCAACAATGCGAAGTGGCTACAAATGCTATTTGGACTTCAGTAAAAGAAGCATCACTTTCAAATTGCATGAAGAACTAGTTCCTCTTTACTCTGCACTGGTTAGGCCTCATCTGGAGTACTGCGTCCATGTCTGGGCATCACAGTTAAAGAAAGATGCAGACAAGCTGGAAAGGGTTCAGAGGAGGGAAATAGACATGAACAGCGGACTGGAAACAAAGCTCCATGAGGAGAGACTGGAAGAACTGGGCATGTTTAGCCTTGAGAAGAGAAGGCTGAGGAGAGGCAGGATAGCCCTCTTCAAGTCCTTGGAAGGTCATCACACAGAGGAGGGCTGGGATCTTTTCTCGATCATCGCAGGTTGCAGGAGATAGAATAATGGACCCAAGTTACAGGAAGCCAGGTTCCAGCTGGACATCAGGAAAAACTTCCTGACTGTCAGAGCAGTACAACAATGGAGTCAATGACCTGGGGAGGTGGTGGGCTCTCCCACACTGGAGGCATTCGAGATGCAGCTGGACAGCCATCTGGGGGGGATGCTTGAACCTGGAGTCCTGCGCTGAGTGGGGGGTTGGACCCAATGGCCCTCTGGCCCCTTCCAATCCTACTATTCTATGACATCAACTTCCAGGCAGATGTGTTGATTCATACCGACAAGCCAGTTCCAGCCATTGTCATCCCCAGCTAGAGCAGGGCTTTTGTAAAGTCATAATTGCCCATTCAAGACTAAGCAACCCCAGAATAATTTGCATTACAACAAGAAAGAATATTCTGATTTGGTACACATGACATGCTAAGTTCTTGAGGAGTCCATGTTGGCTTCTAGTAATCACTCCATTTCTTTCAAGGTGTTTGCAGACTGATTGTTTTATAATCTGCTCCAAAACTTTCCCAGGAAGTAATATCAGAATGACTAGTCTATAGTTCCAAGGTTCTTTCTTCTTTTCCTTTCTTGAAGGTAGGGACAACGTTAGCCCTCCTCCAGTCATCTTGCACTCCCCTGTCCTCCATGACTTCTCAAAGATAATAGCCTGTGGGTCTGAGAGTTCTCTGGGGTGGAGTCCATCAGGCCCTGGAGATTTGAACTCATTCAACCCAACTAGATGATCCTTGGGCACTGGATCAACCTTGAGCAGCTTGTACTTCCCCTTCTTCAAGAAGGTCATAGATCTTTTGGGAGAAGACTGATTGTCCACACCCATGGGGAAGCCAGCCCTGTGAGAAGGAAGTCGCTTGGCCAAAGCCACAAAACCCCGTGGCCCGCTTGCCAGGTGGCTGAAGGTTGCCCCCAAGGACCAGTCACCACACACCAGCTCCTCAAGCCCTGCTTGGGGTGGCAGCATGCTCCAGGAGGGCCGCCCTACCCTGGCTGGCAGGGACTCCTCGCCAGGGAGGAATAAAGTGGCCCTGCTCCAGCAGGTCAGTGTCACGGCCATGCAAGCACGGCAAAGAGGGGGCCTCTTTGGGCCTCCTCTCGAGACCAGCCTGTGTTGTGCCCCTGCTGACTGGCAGCTGCTCTTTGGACAGGCAAAACCTTCCCAGTTTTACCTGGAGATCTCCAGAGTTGAACTTGGGGTCTTCTGCATGCAAGGCATGTACCGCCACTGACCCGTGGCTCTTGTCGCTGGCAGGATCAGGCTGCAGGGCTGGGGGGGAGGGCAGCCACCCAAAGGGAGCCCCTGCTGACACCCCCTTTCTCTTACAGTCTGGATCGACAACATTGGGCAGTGGATACAGGATGAGGTTCCTGCTGGGAAGAGAATCGGATTGGACCCTTACCTCTTTTCCATCGGTATGAAGCATCCTTAGGCACCCTGAATCAGAAGGATGCTGTGCTTGAGAAGGCAACGTTTCGGCCACAAAACTCCAGCAGCACACGAGAGAGGGTCGCTTGCTCCCACTTTTCTCCGTCATCAGCCCCAGCCACCAAAGCTGCAGTGCCGAGGCCCCTTTGCAGGGCCAGACCCCATGCTTTCTCCTGTCCAACTTGGGCAAGTCGCCCTGGCTGGCCGGCTGCCCTGGGGTGGATTTCCTGGGCGTGCATCTGCCTGACGTTCTCTTTCCTCAGATAACTGGGAGAGCTACAGCCAAGTCCTGGAGAGTCACGGTAGGATCCTTGTTCCCATCGAGGACAATCTGGTGGACCTTGTATGGACTGAGAGGCCACCTCCACCCACTGACACCATCTACCAACTCGCAGACAACTTTGTCGGTATGTCCTGTGCCATGAATGAAATTGGGCAGCTGGCTCGTTAATTATTATATTTCCAGCCCTCCTGTCCCTCCAAGAAGCCCAAGGCCTTGCGCATGTTCCCCCTGCTCTACATGTTATCCTCACAACAACCCTGTGAGGTAGGTTAGGTTGAGAGTCACTGACTGGCTGAAAGCCACCCACTGATGGGGACTTGAACCCAGGTCTCTCAGTTCCTAGTCCTGCGTGCATCTTTGGGTAATTTGAGAGGTTGTTTGCCTGATACATACCTCTGAACCTTTGGTGCCTTTCCTTTCTGCAAGCCCTATGGAAATCAAAAGCATTTTGACTGTAAGGCTGAAGGGCTGTTTTTTCCCTCACCAACATTATTTATTACTGTTGTCGTTTCTTTTGGCAACCACTATCTGTATCGAAGGCAAGCAGGAGAAAGTTCACGGGTTCCTCTCATCAGCTGGACCTTCCTTTCCTTTTTGCCTTTTCTTCCTTTAGGCAGCACCTGGAAGGAGAAGGTTACCAATATCCGGAACCAAATGGAGATGCACAGCGAGAAGCCCACCGCGGTCTTGCTCTCGGGTCTCGAGGAAACCGCTTGTAGGTGCTTCACCAAACTCAGCTAATCAGGGCCAGCTCAAGACATTTTGCTGCTAGGCCAAGCTAGCAAGACCCTGCCCTGCCACAAGCCAAGGTGCCTGGTGCCCAGAATGAGCTGAATTAATCTGGCCACATGCCACAGGTCCTCTTTACTACCCAGAGGTTGGACGTTGTCATTTCTAGTCTATCTGCAGGTGTGTGTCGCACGCAGAAAATGCCATGCAGTGGTTTCCCATTGCCTCCTGCAGCACAGGCCTAGAACCAGTTGCAACGGCCATCGCCTTGCCGACATAGCGAAGCAACCCCTGCCTTGGTCTCCAGCTGGTTCTGACACTGCGGCTGCCCGAGGTTAGGGGCAAGTGAGAAGGAGCCTTACTGTGTTTTTAGAGGAGTGACTGCAGCTCAGCCACCAAGCACACAAAAGGTCCGAGGTGTGACTCTTGCCATTCCCAAGCTGGTTTCAACACCCAGGCAAGGGGCTACCCGTTAGGGTAGGCAAAACCAGGTGGACCAGAGTCCAGCGCAGCCTTCCACAACCCGGTACCCTCCAGACATGCTGGATTCAAGCACCTAACGCCGGTTGAGGGCCCAGGACCATGCGAAGGGAACAGGTGGGTTGGGCTGATCTCTTCCTTTCTGCAAAGGATCTACAGCCTCTGCAGATCCCTCTGCAGCCTCACCTCCCTGGGTCCGTCACTTCAGGGACTCTTCTTCCTAGTCCCCCATACCTCACTTTATGCACAAGGAGCAGCGGTCGTGTAGCCAACAAACAGGCTGCCCCCTCTCCCATCCCATTCAGTTTCTGCTTAGGCTTTGCCTTCCCTCTTACACCTTCTGCAGGGGATCTGCAGAGCTTTCTCCCTTCCCTGTGCCGAGCAGAAGCAGGATCCATCCTGCAAAATGAACCCCTATTTGCATAATTGCAGGTGGTAGAAGTCCGAACTGGATCCACAGGAATTATGCCAAGGAAACCCTAAATTTCATTTTCTTGAGTAGGGTCTGCAGGGGCCTGGTTGCACAGCTGTTGTTTGACCAGGAAAACAGCTGCAGATGCAAGGATGGCTGGACCACATCACACACTGGCTGTGTGGGCTTCCGGAATGAGATATCACGGGCAGGGAATGCCTGCCTTTGCATCTGCAAGGGCCTCAGCTCAGTCCCCGGCAGCTCTGCCTGAACGGTTCTTGTATGGCAGGCAGCTGAGAAATCTTTCTGCCTCAGACCTTGGTTGGTTCTGCCATTCAGAGGAGAGAGGGCTGGGCTAGAGAGAAGCCAACTGTTCTTACCAAAGCAGCTTTGGTAAGAACCCCATGGATTGCTATGAGGCAGGGGGCCATCGCCCTACTTCCCCTAGCAGAGGTTCTGCTCAGTGCCTAGTCCCCTCTCCTTTAAGATTAGACGTGGCACTGTCTGTGTTGGATTTCAACCCCCATCATCCCTGGCCAGCAGGCTGCCTTGGCTAGGGGTGATGGGAATCGCAGTCTAACAGTTCTTGAGAGAACCGGGTTAGGGAAGGCTGGTCTGTACAGCCTTTACAGCCTTGAAGATTAGAAACGCGGGCATCACAAGGCCTGAGAGTGTCAGGATTCTCAAGTTCCTTCTCCTCACTTTATGCCCTCTTTATGTTCCCCTCCCCATTGTGTACATGCTCCCCTGCCGTGTCTTTCTCTCCTCTCCTCCTCTCTCTTGCGCTTCCTTTTCCTTTTATTCTTTCGTTCTTCACTGACACCTCCAGCAAGTTCCCTGTCTCTCTTCTACAAGACGCAGTTTGCCCTTCCTTCATCCACTACAAGGCCACGTGGCACAAAAGGGGAAGACATAACGAAATTCCTGCTTTTCCACAGGGCTCTTCAATCTTCGAGGAGACGACATCCCCTACACACCTGTCTTCTACTCCTACACACTTCTTACCAAGACGAATATCAGGTACTTGGCTTCCTCAAATAACAGCGTGATTCACAATGGAAGGCAGAAGGGCCAGTCAAGGACCTAATTCTGTCTCCTGCAGCCCTGATCTGGTGTTCTGGAATTCTTGAAACGAGGAGCTTTACAGAAAAGGGCTCCCAACAGAGACAAGGACTTCTAGAACTGGTTTGTTGCAGTGGATCAATACAACCCCTGGAAGTTTGGGCTCTCCTTGGGGATTATGCCTACAAGGATGGTCACAAGCAGTGCCTGCCCTTCAAAATGTAGTCCTGTCCCGCTGAGCATTGGGCGCTGAGGCAGAGCAACTAGCAACAGCTGCCGTGTGTGTGCATTGCTCACACACTTCGGCTGCCTGCCATTCGAAACAACCCTAGTTAGAACTTTCAAACTAGGTGGAACTTTGCTCTGATCCGAGAAGACCGTTCTTCTGTTCTTAAAGGGAAATGCTTTGCCTGTAAAATGGTTTGTTTGTCTAATTGCTAATGTAAGGCAGTGGCACAGGAAAATGGCCATGTTTAATTCGAGGGTATTCTGAAACCAGCGGGCATGTTGCATTGGAACTGCGGGCACGAGAATCTCAAAGAAAACAGTGCTAAAAAGGGCCAAATATTAAGGGCTTGTGTTAAAATACCTCCAGCGTGGTGGACTGAAACAGAAGGGGAAGAAATACCGAAATAGATCACATGTTAGCTGTCACTAATGTACTCTTAAAAAATAAATCAGGAGTGTTGACACTCAGGTCCAGGGGCCAAATCTGGGCCAGCCCTCCGGGGTTCTCCAGCTGGCCACCTGTCCCCGTACCACCCATCCTCTGATGGCTTCCCTTGTCAGTTTTTCCCTCCCACATTCTGAAAGGTTGGCATGCCTCCCTCCAGGTTCCGTTTTTGGCAAGAAGAGTTCTATGCTCAAATAAGCTGTTTTTTGGGGTTTTTTTTTTAATGTTTCTGGCTGTTTGCCTTTTTGCCTTCAGCTGCCTCCATCCCTAGAATGTGGCCCTTGAGCTTTCTCTGAAATTGAGTTTGACCAGAGAAAGATCAGGCTCACAGGACAAAAAAAAGCACAAATGGACATATGTGCTGAAGTTTATTTCAGCAAGTGCCCATAGACAGCAGTTTTGCAGGACAGGTAGAGTTTCAGAGCTTCGTGGCTCTCACCTGAGATCACCTGAAAGAGGTTTGATTCCCCTGTTTTAAATGCAAAATGAACTGTTAACATTTGGCCATTTTTCACCTGGCTAGGAAAAGTGGCACCAGTGCATAAAAGAAATGCCACCCACACACAGAGCAAACTCCTTCCTCTCTGTCACCAGCCCAGTGGGACGTAGCACAGACAGTGGCATTCAGATAAAAGAGGCCTGCATTCTCACCCCTATGCAGCCCCTAAGCTTCAACCAATCAGCAGCTCTTAGCTTGTCCCACCTTGCAAGACTGTTGTGAGGTTAAATGGAGAGTGAGGAAGTATTTTGCTCTGGGCTCCTTGGAGGAAGGACGGGATAGAAATGCAGCGGATAAATTATCTCCTCCAACTGGTTGCTCTTCTGGCCTCCTTTGGCTTTGCCCACAGCCTCTTTGTGAACCAGAGCCGACTGAGTGCGGAGGCCCTGCAGTCACTGACTGCTGAGTGCCCGGGGCCCCTGTGTGTGCGGATGGAGGAGTACAAGCAAGCCAGTGCCAGCCTGAGAAGCTACGCCCAGCAGGGCGGCGTTCGCATCTGGATTGGAACGGAGTACGCCAACATTGCTCTCTACAGAGAAATCCCCTTGGTAAGAGAGAAGAGCCGGGTGGGCTCAGAGAAGATGGGGGGACAGAGTGGTGGAGACCAGGCTGATGGAGGAGCAGCGTGAATGCTTGTCCATGAGCAGGGGCAAGGATACCATCTGCCCCTCTTGAATTCCCTGCTCCGGCAAAGCTTCGCTGCATTTTTCGCAGTTGCTGGAGAGAGGGAATGAATTTGGCTGGACTCATGGCTTGAGTGTGGCTTGCTGTTGAATCATAGGTTGTTGTGTTGTGCAAACACAGACATGATAACAAACCATGGCTTATTAACCATGAAAAACCCATAGTTTGTCCTTAGAAGCTCTTCACAAAAGACTTACAGCACTGGTGGAGATGCAAACTGCTTGATCCGGTCTGTTAAGGCAGGCCAACACAGCTGCCTGAATTTTGGGGCTTCCCTTAGGACGGTGGATAGTGGAGCTCTCAGGATCAGCTACCTGCACTTTGAAAGGTATCTTTCTGCCACTGCAGAGGAGAAAGGCTTGGCATCAGGAGGGCACAGCCTCTGATTCCTCCCGCAGGGAAGAGCAGGAGGAAAATCAGGCCAGATCCCAATTTCAGGGGACTCTCCCAGGACGCCCCCCTCTGAGCAGGCTGGCTCTCTCCTCCTCATCATGGTCCCCACTGCCCATTCACTGTTCGTCTCCCATTTGGCAATGCTTCTCCCCAGAGGCTCGGCTCCCTTGTTGCAGGAATGCAGGTCTGGCTTCAAGAAGGGAAATCGCCCTGCTGTGTGACCGCAGGAGCGTGGATCTGCCTGGAACGAAAGGAAGGCAGAACAAAAGGAAGCACTGAGCCAAATATCGTGGGTACCGCACATTTGATACTGAGAGTTCTGAGAGGGCTCAGCAGGGGCTTTCAGGGACTGCCAGTCACAGTGGCTGCAGGCCAGGGGTGGGAAGCCTGCAGCTTCACAGAGTTGCTGGACTCCAGCTCCCATCAGCTACAGCCAGCAGCTCCAAAGGTCAGGGATGATGGTGCATCCAGCATCATCTCAGAGAAGCACAAGCATCTCAGCCCTCCTGCGGACAACGAAAGGGTAGGCGTGACCAAGCACCTACGGAGGACCCCTACCCAAAGCTCCCTGAATTGCTTCTCCGCATTGCCTCTGCTGCCTGCTTCTCATTCCAGCCCAGATCAAGATGGCGTGGGAAGCATGAGGAAGGCAGCAGCGAGAGGATGAGGAAGAGAGCAGCCGGAGCAAAGTCATGCTCTGGCTGCTCCAGGGCTCCATCCGGTAGCCAGAACCAGAGTGCCCAGAGTCTCAGCATTTGTGGGAGCCGTCCCAGGCCCTGCTGGAGCTCTCAGCCCCTGACGAGGGCCAGCTGGGAATCCCAGCGGGAGAGCAGGATTCCCTGTTTGGACCTAGCCTGACCCTTGCTGGGGATCCTGTCGTGAAATGCCTGCTCCTCTCTTGGTCTTCCTGGTTCCTGACCCTCCGCTCATTCATGACCACGTTCCTGGCTTGCCCGGTTCCTGACCTTGGCCTGCACTCTTCGTACCTTAATTACGCCTGCTGCTTCACAGTGATTATTGCTGAGTGTGTGGATGGAAAGCAGGCTCTGAGAGCAGTGTTACCCATCCCTGCCCCAAACCAAGGTTTATGAGAGGAAAAAGGCAGACATCCAGGCATGGAGCAGCTTTAAGGCATCCTGTGGGAACCAGCACATCCAGGAAGCACATAATAAGAGAGGAATTATGCAAACGGCTCTGCGAAGGAAGGACTCGAACAGCCTGTCCCCAACTGGGCTGCTTCGGGGTAGTGTCACAGCTGCAGCCCCCAGGGGCCTGGGAAAGGCCTGTTGACATGGCTCCTGCTTTCCTGTCCCACAGGCAAAGGTCCTAGAAGATCAGTTCTCCCCTGTCATGATCACCAAGGCATCCAAGAACCCCAAGGAGCAAGAGCTGATGCGGGCGGCCCACGTACGTAAGCCTTCCGTGAGCAGGGAAGCAGAGACGGGGCACGGGGGTGTGAGGACCAACAGAAGGGGCCAGGCCACAGGTCGCAAAGATGTGACGGGGCTTTAGAGTGCAACAGAACTCTTCAGCAAAAAAGGCATGAAAGGACGGAGGTAGGAAAAAGGGTGCGGCAAGGCGAGGTGGGGAGAAGAGAGCCCGTGTTGTCCACTCATTTCAATGGGCCCCCTCTCTAAGCAGAATCGCATTTGGTACAACCGTAGTCTGCCGAGATTCTGGGTCAGGGTCCACACATGCACATAAAGCGTCAAGAGGCATTTGTTTTGCTCCTCCAAAAGAGTGACTCTGGCTGCAGGAGCGGCAGGTGTGATTCTGCCAGCGTGTGTGGTTAACTTCCCAACTGCCCACTTTCCCACTCAAAATGCGCACACACTGCCAGCTGCCTTCTCTCCTGCAGGACTCCTAGCCCATGTTTATAAGGAGAATTAAATCCATCGGAGGCTTTTTCTTTCCTTGATGACCTCTCAGGCTGAGCGCTAGGAGTGGGAATACTTCCTGGGCCTCAGCCCAGTGAATCTTAGCTCAGGTTCTGCCAGGGTCTTGTCAAAACAGGCAGCACAAAGGGAACATGTGGATCGAAGCTGTACCATATGAAGCTGGCAATTCAGCCTCTTTCCTCATCACCATCCTCACGACCTCATCCTGGTGCAAGAGCACAGAGATAAATAACTGCCGTCCACATCCACCCTTCTTTGCTTGGGGTCCTCTTAGATACGAGACGCGGTCGCACTGATCCAGTACTTGGTCTGGCTGGAAAAGAACGTTCCCTCTGGTTCTGTGACCGAAATGTCTGGCGCACGCTACGTGGACCAGCTGCGGAGGTAAGTCTAAGGAGGGATGGTCCTGAGCAATGCTTGAAGCAGGGATCCTGGACCTCTTTCAGCCACGGGGCCAAATTCCATTTCTGAGAAGCTTTGGGGGCGAGGCACCGGGGCAGGGCCAAAGCTAGCAGCACAGTTGAACAAAAAGCAATTCCTGCCAGTAACTGAGCTTCAGGAAGGGTTGACATACCCGGAGGAAAATGTCCCGAAGCTGGGAAACCAGCAAAGGATTGGTGACTGAGGAAAGGGAGTGGTGAGGAATTCTCGGAGGCCCAACTGAGACTCTCGGAAAACAGACTTTGGTCCCCAGCCCCGAGTTCCAGGACCACTGGTTGGAAAGGCTCATAGACAACATGAAAAGGGCCTCCAGGGAAGAAGCAAGGAGGCTCCAGTGCAAGAAGGCAGGTGCTGGATCCAAACTGGGACAGTGAAATAGCTGGGGTGGGGGTTGTTTTCTAGTATAACTATTCAAGGAGCAATCGGTAGTGCACAGACTATTCCAGAGAAACTAATGCAGCCGATGAAGCAGAGCTGAAAACCACATGCAGTGCAGTTCAGGAGTTCCAGCAAACTTCCCCGACCTGCAGCTCCCCAGATACGTTGGGTTGTAACTCCCAGGGCCTTCCCAGCTCTGTGACTTAGGCAGTACCATTTGGTGTGGAAGTCAGACTGTTGCAGGAAGCAATAATGGCTTGGTTGTACATTGTTGAAGACCTAAGCAGGACTACCTTGTATCTTTTTCTTTTTCTTTTTTTTTTTTTTTGCGGGGGTGGTCCTGATAAAGGGCTGTTGTCAGCTAGCTGCTTCCATTGTTGGGGTTACCAAGTGTGGTGGCTGCAGCTGCCCACGCTTTTGATTCTCCCACAATGCACCAAATGTAGCATCCTCCCGGGGCACTGTGGGAAGCTTCACATGGCAGGCAGGTAAGACCAACCTGGTGGGACAGAGGTGTAGTTGAGAAGGTCACATTTTGAGCACATGCCAGTAGGTCCTTCTGAGGATGCTGAGCGTTTCAGCAGGCATTAGGTGTGTGCCAGTTACTATACAGAGAGCAAAGAGAGGCAGAATCCAGGATATTTCCTGTTTCCCTACAGGAAAGAGCTGTACTGCCGTGGGCCCAGCTTTGAGACAATCTCTGCAAGTGGACTGAATGCAGCTCTGGCCCATTACAGGTATGAGATGCAGAGACGGAAATCGTGGCAGGTAACTGCTGGAGTAGCTACAGCATAGCTAAGACAAGAAAGGTGGGGCAAAACATCAAAGCAGGATGTTGCTTTCTCTAAGGAAGCGCGAAATGTTGCTGGGGAAGAGGCCGTTTCCGTCTCAGCACTCCTCCCAGACCAAATTCTTGTGCGTGAAAGGAAGAGGCAAGAGGTGCCTGCCTGCTGTGTGCAGACTTGCTCTCTGTTGCAATGCAAAGTATTTTGGGGCGACTTGGTTTTGAATGGACAGTGAAGCTTGATGAAAGGGCTGCTCTAGGAGCAGGCACACCTACAAGAACTGGTTGCAATGTGTCCGTACAACCTCTGCGCCGCTGGGCTCTGCTACTTGCATTTTCGATGGGAATGGTTTGAAACTGATGTTGCGACCATGAGAAAGTGGCTCGAGATACCCAGGGCTCCAAGCCTATAAATCCTTTGAGCACGCGTCTGGCAGGGCTGTGCACGGAGCAGAAAGGAGGGAAGTAAAAGTTCTGTGCTCGGTTTTAGGTTTGTGGTTTGTGCGCTTGAAGGCCCGTGCATTTCTGCTGTGTGTGTCTCCCAGGAGAGAGCGCAAGAGCCTCCTTACAGCTCTCTTGCCCGAGCCAGCCCAGTGATTCCCCCACTACCCACCTAAAATGCATGAAAGAAATGATCCCGTAGGCCACTTATAGGCCACTATAAGGCTTGGGTCTGATCCCGTAACTTGGGCCATATGCTCCAAGCAACTTTTCCCTTAAAGGCCCCTGGAGTCCCAGAGTAAATTCTGAGAAACAGTTTCCACGGGGGGTAGTTGTGGCACCTTAAAAGACTAATTTCACATGGTATAAGTCTCATTGATTTTGCTGTGAATGCATTATGCCAAACTTGTTACAGCACATGTTTTCAAGGACTCTCACGAATTATTCTGTAAGTAAACAGTGTCCATGAATGCTTGTGCAGTAATAAATCTGCAAGGCTTCAAGATGCTGCGAGACTTCTTGCAGTTTGTGCCAAGAAAGAGTCTCTCTCTGTGTGTATTTAATATTAGTGAGTGTGTGTCAGACTTTCTGGTTCTGTGTTTGGATTCCTCTGGAACTGCTGGCTCCTGAATGCAGAGCTAGGAACACCCATCACCTAAGGCGGTGCTGGGGAACCATGTGTGTGTGAGAGAGAAGGTGGGCACACTACAGCGGAGGTGAAAGGAATAGAGCCCACCCCCCCACACACACACACACATTCACGAATATCCACCTGTTATGAACTTAAAGCTCTTCCTTCCAGAAGCCAAACCTTAGGAGAAGCACCCAACCCTTTAGGTTGAGGAAAATGCGCAAACCATGGGAAAGCAGCCAATGGCTTGCAGTCGGGGAAGCTGCTGTAGCCATCCAGAGACCCCGAAGAACCACAGGAGACCCGAGGAGGTCTAGATCTGGCCCTCAAGCCTGATTTGCTCACCCTGGCCTATCCCAGCATGCCAATTCTGATGCCTTCCGTTTCTCTTTTAGCCCATCCAATACTACCAGCCGCTCCCTGTCTGTGAATGAAATGTACCTGGTGGACTCTGGAGGCCAGTATTAGTGCGTATGGGGTGCCCCGTCGCTTCTCTTGGGTGCCTGCCTTTGGCAGGGGGGTTTCTCTTGTTGGGGAAGCACTCCGGGTGTGTCTAGACAACAACCTCATGCAGTGTTGGGTTCGTTTCATTCGATGTTGCAAGCTACTTTTGCAAAAAAATGTTTGCAATAAGCTTACACAATAGGAATCAAATAAAACATGAGACTTCCATCACAAGGGAATAACATTTTTTAAAGAGTATAAATAGGATACATTTTTTAAAAAAACTACACTTTCTGTGGTACCTAGAAAAAGGACCCAAACCTTTTGCTTCAAAAGGCTTTGCTAAAAACAGGAACCTTGCTTGGGTACAATGTAGAGCAGTTTGATACCCTCCAGAAGTTTTGGATGGCAACCTCTATCAGCTCCAAGTCATGGCCCAGTTGGCTGGGGCTAATAGGAGTCGGAGTCCAAAAACATCTGGACAGAGCCACGTTAGGAGAGGTTGATGGACAGCAAGAACTGCCACCTCCCTCAAGGATCTGCATATACCCGCCATGTCCCTGGGGCTAAGGAGCCAACTAGTTCCATCTACTGATCAGCCCTGACGATCCTTCCTTCCCTCTTCCTTCTATGAAAGCGATGGAACAACCGACATAACCCGGACTGTCCACTGGGGGGAACCAACGGCTTTGCAGAAGGTAAGGCTGCAATCAAAGGCGTACCTGGATTGAGCACCTCTGCACCTGCTTTCTAGCTGCTGCCTTTCCCCCAGGTCACGCTTGGGTTGCTTCGCCCTTCTTTTATTTCACTGCTGCTGGGAAGGCCTTGGCATACAGGGACCCCCTCATGCGTCCAGTGAGGTTCACCTTGGGCACAATCTTTGCTGGCTTACCTCTGCAATTCCTCTGTAGGAGTCCCAGCAACAGCCACGCCAGGTGGGGTCCTCCTTCCCTTGCAGAAGCCATGTGCCTGAGATCTCTCTACCTTTATCTGGTACCAAGTGAGAGGTGGCTTTCTAATAGCAGCAGGATCAAAAGGCTTTCCCTAGCACAATTCGGAACACCGCTGATTACTCGCAGTGGTGAATGCAGTCCAGAAATAAAGCAACGGATCTCACTAGGTCGTATGGCAATGACAAGCGTGAATCAAGAGTGGAAAAACAAGAACAGCAGCTTGGCAACCGACTGCAGACTGGTCCGAGTGATCGTTTTTCCTATAGCAGACTATGGTTGTGAAAGTCGGACAATGAAAAAGTTAGACAAGAGGAAAATTGACTCATTCAAGCTGTGGTGTTGGCGGAGGCTCCCGCGCATTTCCCGGACAGCGAGAGTCACGAACAAGCCAGTGCTGGAGCGTATCAAATCAGACACGTCCCTGGTCGGCAAGATAACAAAGCTGAGACCCGCTTATTTTGGCCTCGTCATGCAATCAAGTTCATTAGAAAAAGATAGAATGCTTGGAATGCAAACGAAAACCAGGTCACCCAAGAGCGAGGTGGTTAGGCTCCATCAGTAAGGATGCAGCCAGAGCATAGCTCAGCTGAAAGAGGTGGCACGGGATCGGAAAATGTGGCGAGATTTGGGCCATGGGATCGGTTACAGTCGGACACAACAGAACAGCTGAACAACTGATGGTTTTCAGTGCATTGGGCTGAACTGAAACTCGGCCTCTCACTCAGCAACTGGCTTTCCAAACCACAAGAGGAGGAAAGTTTAATGAAACAGATTGTGATCTTTTACAACAGCAACGGGGGGGGGGTCATTTTTATTTGGGGAAGAAGCAAGAGATTATGCATACAAAAACACAGAGCATTCTGGGTGATCTAGCTCCCCTGTGGGTTGGAGGAGAGACCATGTCCCGATGGTTTTTAAAATTTCAGCTATATGTTTGCCTCACATACTGTGGTCTGGCCAATTTTTATAGAGTGATGTATGATCATCCGGCCATCCTGCTTTGGCAGGAGCTGTTTCGGGACTTCACGACACCAAAACTAGAACTGCTTTTCTTACCTTGGGAATTTAACTGTTGCTTCCCTAGTGCAGTTATTTTGATCCCTCGGGGACAAGGAGTGTAGCGAACTCTCTGCCGCAGTGAACGGCACCCACACCATATTAGCAAAGCGCTTCCCAGGTAAATGGCCCTTGCTTCCAGGCCTCAAGGACTAACACTTCCCCTTGTTCTGCGCTTCTGACCTGTTTTTCCTACACGAGCCTTTTCTGCTGCATCTCCCTTACAGTTTCATCATAAATCTGAGATCCAAGCGCCACAAGAGAAGCATTTCCTCTCCTGCTTTTCCACTATATAACCCTCGGTGGATGCGGTGCTGTAGCAGAGTAGTACAAATACACAGGAAGAAGACTTGCTTTCCTTCACTTCCACAAATAAATTTCACATTTCCCTTGTCCCTTGTCAAAGCTATTGGTTATTAATATTACATTATATGTATATCCCAACGTTTTTTCTCTTGGGAGAGCTCAGTTTTGGGATGAAACCAAGTACATACAGCAGATACAGCCAACTGACAGCCTTGCTTAGAAAAGCTTCTGGATTCTATGATTTTTTGCGAATCTTTTTTCATTTCTGACAGAGTTTTATTTCCTCTCTTGTTCTTCTGCCCCTTAGGATGCCTACACACGGGTACTGATGGGGAACATTGACCTGTCCAGGCTTGTTTTTCCACCCAGGACGTCAGGTGAGGATCTGGGGACAGGGAGCAACCAAAAGAGCAGGAAAAGCTGGCACACCTGCTGGGGTTCTCCTCCCAGCCCTCGCTTCAGTGCTAGCTGGTGCCTTCTGCTATCACAGGTGAGAATTTGCCGGCAATTTGTCTTCCCTTCTGCTGATGGAGTGCAGAGCCCGGAAGCCGAGCCGCAATACATGGGGGACGAACCTGACCCATGGCAACTGGGAGGGCTCTTTTAGCAAGGTCCACTGCCTCGTCCTCTCAGCACAGGAATGGGCATTTGGGGAGCAAGAAGGACACCAGGTACGGGCAACCCAAGAGGTTTCTCCTGCCGACTCTCAGCACAACTGTCCCATTGCAGGCAGACTGGTGGAAGCCGTGGCTCGCCAGCCCCTCTGGGAAGCGGGGCTCAACTATGGCCATGGGACTGGACACGGCATCGGCAACTTCTTGTCTGTTCATGAATGTAAGTGGTCGGCCGGGCTGTGCTGCTCTGCTTTTTAATGACTAAGAGTAAAAAAGCAAACATTTTAAAGATAGACTAAGATATAGACCAGTTCCCAACAGCAGCTGAATACTGCAGTCACTCTGAACCAGGTGTGACTTGTGGTCTCCAGAAGTTTTGGCCTGCAGTTCCCAGCAGCCCAGCTGGCAGATTCCATGGTAAAGGACGGTTGGAGTTGTACACCAAAACATCTGGATGCTCACGCATTGCCTGCCCCTGCTCTAAGCACTGCCTATTCCAGTAGGAAGCTGCATTATACTGTCAGGTGAATGGTTCATCTAGTCCAGTACTGTCAGCACTGACTGGCAGCTGCTTCTGACAAATGCCCAGAAGTCAGCCAGCTCTGCTTGGAGATGGAGCCAGCAACTGGCTCAGTATGTGGCAGATTCCTGCCTTTGAGAACCTGGGCAATTTATTTTATTTATTTATTTATTAAAACATTTCTATGCCTCCCCATTCGCCGAAGCCTCGGGGCGGCTCACAACATAAAGTTAAAATACAAAAAATAACAATATAAAGAAGTAACTATATAAAATAAGTAACAATATAAAATAAGTCACCCTGGCCAGATAAAATAAGCAAACACTACTAACAATTAAAATGACGCTTAAATAAAAAGGTGGAGAAGGCAATGATGGAGAAGGCTTCTCCCGCTGGAGATCTGCCTGCCATGCAGCCTTGAAAGGTGCAGGACCCATGTCCGCATCAGGGGCAGAGCACCTGTTTTACCTGCAGAAGGTACCTGTAGAGGGGGGCGCGTAACATTCTCATGTCGCAGTTGCCCCAGATCAGTTCTTCAGAAGCAGAGGAAGAGGCGGAGGGACAGAGGTAGGCAGATGATGCTACAGTTTCGAGGTTATGAAACGAAAATACGCAGAGCATGAAAACCAGACTTCCTTGGAAAAGGAGAGACATTTCAGAAGTAGGTGGGGAGGAGGTGGAGGGGGTGTTTCTTGAGGAGATGCCAGGCAAGGCAAGCAAACCAATTAAGAAGTGTCCGGCATTCCCTCTGTCTGGCCCTCACAAAGCGGAGCCCCCAAAGGTGGAGCTGGAATCTTTCTGAAAGGGAGGGAAGGAGGGGCTGTGTCATTTGATTAAAACTCTTCACCTGGGCAGGCGCTATTCCCACGTTGCAAAGGGATCAAGATTGCGATTTATGCTTTGTAACCTGAGCAGCTCCAGTAAAGGACGGTGCTGCGCAGGGTCTGTCCCGGTCTGCTGGAGAGGAAAAAGCGCAGGCAGAGGCCTGTCCGGGACAGTCCGAGGTCCAATCCACAGCACCTCCAAGCGGAGGAAAACCCTGGCGCAACCCACAGTCTGACTTTGCACAAGGCAGCAGCTTACAGGTTGCCTCGGTAGTCCTCTGGGCAGTGGCTAGGTGCGCCCATTAGGCACCGCTGCTGCAGCACACTGTGGGCTCTGGGCCGCCTCGATCTCTCCAGCTGCTTCCGGAAACAGCAGTAACACATTTTCTCTCCTCCAGGGCCTGTGGGCTTCCAGTCCAACAACATACCCTTGGATAAGGGCATGTTCACCTCCATAGGTAGGTGCTACCTGCTCTTCTCAAGCCCTGATGCTGCACAGCCATGGCCGCTGCAGTTCCCCTGCCTTTCTTCCTCCTCCTAGAGCTCTCCTGGTGCCCCCAAATGGGACCCCAGGTGTACCTGTCCACGCCAGCACAAGTGCTGGTTGCGTGCTGGCCAGGTTTCCCTTCTTACTCTCCCTGGTGGGGCTTGCGATGCCACCCAAACCAAGGCAGCATGGCTTGTTCGACGGAGCAGCAGCCCCCAAAGAACCACAGTTTGTTGTCTGTTCTCAGACTCCTGCAAGCAAGCCGTGTTGCCTGGGCTTAGTCTTGCTGCTCCCTGCACCCCAAAGCGAGCAGGTTTGGGTGGTGCAATGTAGGGGATCCAGTTAATGCACGGCCAGGGAATGAGCCCCCGCTCCTGCTTATTTCCTGCATTGTGATCGTGCAAACCAGCCCAGAGTTGTCCAGCAAATATTTTGCACAGGGAGCGGGCTAGTGAAGCAGCGTGAAGAACAGAGAAGGGATGTTGCTGCAGGTGCAGGTGGAGGTGGGCTGAAGGCGTCTTCACACAGGATGAGGAAAGATACAAGTAAGCCCTGGCACAAGGTCGGGCCATGTAAATCTCAGGTTCAGACTCAGAAAGGAAAGACCGAAGACTCCCGTGAAACCCCTAAGAGTCGCTGCTGGCCATAGGCTTCTGAGCCGGCCAGCTCAGTGTCTGACTTGGTCTAAGGGGGCAGATCTGCCAAAATAAGGAACTGTCCAGAAGGAGTTCTTCCGAAGAGAGTGGCACCGCTTTCTTCTGTAATGCTTAGCAGCTTCCTCTCTTCCGTAATGTTTAGCAGGGCCCAACCCATGATGCTTCTTATGAAGTTCCTCGCCCACACTCTGTTTCATTGGCTGCAGCTTGCAAGGGCAGGAAACTCCAGCATCAGGTCAGGCAGGCCACTGACGGCAAACTTCCCCAAACTGGTGCGGTCCAGATGTGTTGAGCTACGATTCTGAAAATTCCCAGCCAGCTTGGCCAATCGTCAGGGATGCCCAGAGCTGCAGCCCAACACATCTGGGGGACACGCGATGGTCAAGGCTGATCGAGAGTGTAAGAGAGGACAGGGCAGGCCCCACGGTAAGGCCAGGAGTGGCAGGTTCCTCAGGCAGCAGGTGCTGGGAGGTGGGAACGAGGGAAGGGCAAAGAGCCTCGTGTTACCGGGCCTGTCATCAACTAGTCCCCGGCGTGCCCGCAGCCTTCAGGGTGGCCGGCGGTGCTCTTCCATCACCAATAGGGAAGCAGCAGGTTAGAAGCCTGGTGTGGAAAAGCCTTCTGCTAGGGTGGGCAGTCTAAGGCTGAGAAATTCGTTAAGCAAATTCCGTGCTAGCCTGTAATGGCTCCAAGGAATCTGATGACCAGAAGGGCTTGGCCGGTCTCCCTAGACTGGGCGGGATGCGAAGAGCACTTGGCAGGCACTGGAAGGAGCTTGGAACATGCTCTGCAGGCCTAGTACCTCCGCCACTTTTCTCATTCTCTCTTTCTCTCTCTCTCTCCCCCCCCCACCCCCTGCAGAACCTGGTTATTACAGGGATGGTGAATTTGGGATCCGTCTTGAGGATGTTGCACTTGTGGTACAGGCGAAGACTAAGGTGATGCTCCTACCTTGGACTGGTCCAGCCACAGGGCCTGTCCACTAGCAGGTGGCACCCGGCCACTGTGAGCATGAGCTGTCAGACTGGCTGAGCAGAGGAACACTCTGCAACACACAGACAGAGGTCTCTTCACAGGGTCTCTTCTGCACCCACTGACCCTCCAAAGGGCCTCGCTGCGTGATCGAAGAAAGCACAAGCATTGTTCTTCACGCGTTGGACTGAGGACCCAGGAGATCTGGGTTCTAGTCCTCACTCAGCCAGGAAGCTCACTGTGAGGCTTTATCACAACTCTAAGCCCAACCTACCTCACAGGGTTAGTGTTGCTAGGATAAAAGTGGAATGGAGGAGAAGGCTGGGAGCCACTTTAGGTTCCTCTCATGAGGAAAAAAGGCAGGATATAAATGCAGCATAATCATAAAATTACAGCATAATTTAGGCCCTTGTCCGGGACCAATAGCATCAAAAAACCGCTCAGATGAGCATTCCTGATCACTACCATGTTGAAAGAAGGTGGAGGGTGTTATGAGACAATATCTGGTGCAGGAATGACCAATAAATGTGGCTTTTGGGGGAGGGCTGTTCTGCCACAGTGGACTGACCCATGCATATTCATAATCTGTTTTCTCTGCACTTGCACACACAAAAATGAGTGAACTGGCACTGTGGTTCCGCCAACTAGCTCTGGTGCTAAAAGATGAAAGTACTAATTATGCTGCGGTCCCATTGAAAATTCCCCAATGCTTGCGATTTCTTATTAAACCACAGATATATTTGAGCATCAGATGCATGGCTTAGTCAGGCCTGAAGCGACATTGCCTCTGAGGAGCTGTCAATCCGTTCCCTGCAGTGAGATTGGCTCCTTTAGAAACCCAAATTGCCAGTCGATCGAGCGGACATGTGCTTGAGCCAAAACCTCTCCATTCATATCTTCCAAGAGGCAATACCGTTTTGGAACCAAGCGGGATGCAATGCTAGACCGGCCATCCCCAATTAAATCAGTGCTTTGAAGAACGGTGACCTCTGAGTGAGGAACATGGGTGCCCAGCCATCTGTCACCCTGGGGACCAGGGACGGCAACTAATTACGAGCCTTCCCTTCTCTTTGTCTCCCTCAGTACCCAGTGCGTGGCGAGTCCTTCCTGACTTTCGAAGTGGTGTCGCTGGTGCCTTACGCACGGAATCTCATCGACGTGAACCTCCTGTCCCCGGAGCAGGTGCGTGGGAGCCCCGGCGTGAAGCGCGCAGGGGGCGGCTGAGGGAGCCCCCCAGCTATGCACAGCTTCTCTTTCCCTGCAGATCGAGTTCATCAACAGATACTACGAGACCATCTGGCAGCGCGTGGGGCCCGAGCTGCAAAGACGCAAGCTGGACGAGGAGTACCAGTGGCTGCAGCGGAACACGCAACCCCTCTCCCGGTCGTTCCTGTTAGCGGCCTCCCTTGGCACACTCGCCATGGGCACCCTGGCCTCCACTCTTATCCCAGGGGCGTAGGACAGGGCCTGGGACATGTGGCGGCGTGGCCTCCATCTTCAGCCCTGCATGGAGGCCTGCTTGAACTGCTCATCCACCTCAGCCCTTGCCCGTATCTTCTGGGACTCTCTGGCCTCTGAATACCTTTGCTACCAAGCCTTCTCCCCAACAAGCTTATATATGGTCTCCTTCATCCAGGCAAGAAAATATACAAACAGCTCTGAGTTTCTATCTTGAACCAACGTTTCCTAGCCAGGATGGAGCAGAGCACTTGTAGAGAAAAAGAGAACATGACGGACTGTTGTCCTAGACTCCCCCAAGTCTTTGGAGGATTGTACTTCCCTCATGTCACACAAGAATGTGACATGAGATCCCTAATCCTTTTGGGGCTGTGGGCACATTTGAAATTTTGGGTGTGCCATGGGCATGCTCATGAAATGGTTGCCAAGGTCGGTGTGACCAAGTACAAGCAGCCACTTCCCACAGGCCAATTGGTAAGACTAACTGAAAATTAACTGCAGAACAACCTAAGGTCAAACCAAAGGTTGGGTCTGAGAGCCACTCTTTTGAACCCACAATTTTCTGCTTCAACCCATTTCACAGAAGGCAAACTGAGGAGGCTGAGAAACGAGTAACTTGGCCAATACACTCAGAACAAGGCAGAGGCAGGGTCTGAGCTCCAACTGCCAAATAACAACAAAACCCCTATTTCACAGAAGACAGCTAGTGTTACTCTGGGGGGAAAAAACCATACACAGCCACAAAACACACGCTGAGCAACACTTGCCCCACACTCCAATTCCCCCAAAACCAGAGAAAACACATCCACCTCTGACAACATGAGCAAAACATGCATACACACAAAGAATCCTGGGAAAACCCATCCTATGCAAATATACCTGCCACGCTTATCATCTAAGAATCCCTCTCTGGCTCCATGGCACATGTACTCTCCCACATACTACATATTCCTTGGAAATGCATGTGGCATTGGAGGCCAGCCCTTTGTTAACCTCTCAGCTGTTTTTGCTAAAAAAATCTAAAAAAGGAATATAAAAAGCAGGAGGGACTGGAAACTTGGGGGGGGGGGTGTTATGGCTCCCCAGTTAAGCCCTTGGTAAGGGGCTGAGAGGCCCAAGTGCCATCCTCTCTGAAGCCTGAACCAATGCCGTGCTTTCCCCAGTGGGAAAAATACACACCTTGAATACATATCACCTTTTCACCAACACCCCTGAAGACAGTAACGTTTGACGGCGGCACTTAGCGATCAGTGTGTTGTTCCGGCTTGAAAACACAAAAGGATGACAATAAAAGCTACTGAGCTATCCTCTGCAATGTGGGATCCTCTTTTTCAAGTTTCATCAACTAACAGAAACATCAAAATCAAAATTAAATTCTGTAGGCGAGCCAAGAAGTATTTCTTGGCTGTTGCTGACTGTGTTGATGGCTTTATCCTCCTGCCCTCCGTACAGGCAATTTGTCACGCTATTGGTCTCTCCAGGGAAGAGACAGAAAAAAATGACTTAGCAGGCTATTTGCTGATTAAATTTCCAGGCCAAGCAACGAGTATGTAAGAGCAGTTCTGCACGGTGAAATCAATGGCCCCGAATTCTCTGAATGTCAGCCTGCAATGCTCCACCCCCAGAGGCAAATATTGCAGAAAGCACACACTCTTCCACCTCTTGTTCTTAATGGATTTTCTGTGCTAAGGGAAACAACTGATGAAACCATGGAAAACATAAGAGGGTCACAAATTAAGAGTAAGCAGTGAAGTGGCCACCTGTCCTGACGATACCCATTGTTTAGGGTTACGGCAGACGGGATTGCAAAGAGCTCCAAATGATCTCTCCGATTTCAAAATGACATGCAATTCAGACTAAGCAGGTGGAAAGGGACACGTGTTGGGCAAAAGTTCCCCCCTTCGTTGCACACACATGTGCTGATGGGATGTGAGGTGGGGGTCACTGCTCAGGGCAGAGAGCTTGGGGTCTTGGAGGACCTCTCACTGAACCCTGAGATGGACATGTGCATCTTCTTTGCAGGGTGCACATCTTCCTGGTTGCTGCTGCTTCTGTTTGCCCACACATCTTAGCCCGGAGAAATACATGGGACTGAGAGAAGAGTGGGAGGGGGGTTGATCTTCCCTGCAGGTGCCATTTAGAGGGAAAGGGGAAAGGAGAATGTGCGGAGGTTAAGTTACTCCTTTGCTCCCCACTTGCAATTGCTGTTAAAAATCGCCACCTGAGGAGAAATAAAACCACTTGAATTGGCGCTGATGGGCACTCAGGCCTCTGGAGAATAAAGGGGTCCCCAACAGGGCAGGGTTGCCTGAGGTGGGACAATTCCATGCACAGAAGCTGACCAGGTTGGAGCTGATGCTTCCTCAAGCACTGCTGACGGGACACACACCTGGGGCAGCAGGTAGGGCTGGTGCCAGGGATGGGGGTGCCCAGCAGCATCCCATTGACTGCCCTCTGTGGCTCTGCTTCCTCCTCACCATGGCAACCGGCAGGGTCACTCGCCTGTTACTTTGGTCCAGGCCACAGCGAGGGAGATGCCACAGCCGGCTTGCTCTCTGCCTCTCAAGCAAACAAGCGCTCGCCTTGCCGAAGAGGAGGCGAGAAGCAAGAGCATCTCCCGACAACGGTGGCAAGAAGGCAGGCCCATAGAGGGTGCCGGGACCCACTGAACGTGTCTGGCCCACAGCCCCTGCAAAACCTGGAGCCGGCGTGGGCAGAAGGCCGGCTCGGGGCGGGCAGTGCAAGGCAGGTTGAGCGCAGCATCCTGTGGCCGCACTGAGTCCCTTCCTTCCCGCAGCACCTGCTGGAGGATCGGGCGGCCCAGAACCCCCAGCACATCCAGTCCTCTGGATCCCGTTCCCCTCTCCCGGGCAAAGCAAGGGCCAACCACGCCTTTTCTCGGGGAGAGGGGCCCTGCGGGTCTTGCTCCCTCCTCCCCCGTCTTCTGCCCGTAAGCCACCCTCCTCTCGCTCGCAGGCTAAGTAAGCCCTCGCGAATGTGCTCAGCCGCCACTTCCTTCCTGTGTGAATGCGCAAGGGCCGGGCGGGCCGGGCGGCGCGTTGGCTGCTTGCAGAGGCCCGGCTGCTGGGGAGAGGGCCCCCATGTGATGCCGTGATTTCCTGCCCGCTTCCTGGCTTCTGCTGAGACTTTTCATGCTCGTCTGCCCTGCCCATCGGTAGAGTGGAGCCGCTCTTCTGGAGGGAGCACCATGCTGCGACGGAAGCCATCCAACGCCGGCGAGAAGGACCCAGTGCAAAAGAGGAAGGTGAATGGGGAGGCCCTCGCTTCTTTCCTGGAGCGCGCTGCTTACCTGTGCCCTGGTGCTGAGCCGCTGGCAAGGTGCCAGGGCTTGGGGCAGACCTAGGACCTGCTACCCCTTGCATCAGGCCAATGCGGTCATGCTTTCGAGAAGCAGAGGGGACGGGAGGGTGGTCTGAGGGATTTCTTCTCCCCTGCCATTTCTACCACCATGAGCCTCAGCTGACTAGAGCAAAGAGATGCTTCTGATTAGCCGAGCACTCAAAGATTTCCATCTTTGTGAGGCATGATAGTTAAAAGATTTAAAGGACAGATGTGATACTCTTCACATATCTGAAAGGCCATCGTGCAACATATGGAGCAGAATTGTTCTCGGCTACTCCAGGAGGCCATACTAGAACCAAAGGTCAGAAGATGCCAGGAGACAGACCGGGGACACTACCAGCTACCAAAAAAATCCTGGACTCAGGCCCACAGGACAAGGGGTGGGGGGAGCAATGCAAATTTGCATGTGTCTGTTTACATACACTCCAGGTCTGTCTCTTTGTGTGTGTCTATCAAGGACTCTGTCTCCTAAGGTCACGCATGTGGAAAATGCAATGCATGGAAACGCAGGAGAACAGTATTTGGCTATAGGAAAAGCATCAGGCTGAAAGACTTAGGGGGTGGGGGCAGCAAGTGAGTCACGTGTGGGCAACAAGCCCTCTTATCCAGGGGACTGGATGCAACAGAGATTGTCAGGATCGCTGGCCCTTCATCTCAGCAAGGGCTTCTGCACAGCAAGGCAGTGACGTAAGCAGCCTCCCAGCGGTCCAGGGCTCCAGCCAGAGTGGCCCTGACATCGCCGTTGAACAGGCTTTGGTTAGACATGCAGGGAAGCGGCAGGCGAGGCTGCTTGCAGGGAGGCAGGAAGCCGTGTTCCCTTTCAGGTGGAGACGCCGAAACTAGGGCTGGCACATCCTCTGTCGAGGTAGCTGCAGCAGCACCCTGCTTTGTGGAGCCTGCATTGGGCAACTCAGTTATCTCCATGCAGCCTTCCAACGCGTTGATTCTGGGACAGGCTATACTGAGCAGAGCCAGGCTTGGCCAGGGCCGCCAGCCCAACTGCACAAGTGCCCCTGCGTGGTTTCTTGGGGGACAATCTTGGTTTCGGAGGCTCAGAACTCAGGAGAGTGTCTGACTGAGTGGCACATTCTAGGGCAGATGGCCAAACTTGTAGATTATGCCAAGGATGAGTCTGGAAAGGCATGTTGCAGTTGCATCAAGCATTAAAATGGCTTGACTAGCTGTGCTTCCGTCCGTGCTCTCCCTGCCGGTGCGTGGTGTCCCTCAGCTGCAAAGAGTAGGCCCTGAAATGCTGTCGGGGAGTTGTGGAGCTTCTGGCTTTGCGTTGGCGCTTTCAGTCTGGTGTGGGCAGGATTCTGATCTGGATCCACTGGCAGAGTTTTGGATTGTTTGTACTACATCAGCAAAAATTTCAGATACCAGGCTGTTTAACGAGAGTGGCAACCAAGTGCCCCCTTGTCAAAGTTCACGGACCTTGGCCACTGCAGAATGGCTCTGCGGGAGTGGGCTGCACGTGTACGAAGGTTCATGCCAGGACAAATCTTGCCGGTCCCTAAGGTGCCACATACTCTTTGCTGCTTTTCTTTGTAAGAGACTATCTGGCTTATATTGATAAAACTTAAGCCAAGCTGCTGATCCATAAAGAAACATTCAAAATGTGCAGGCAGGCAATAACTTTGCTAGGACCAAGCAGAAGTGCACAAAATTATGGACAACCTTTGGATGAGATCTCTTTTTGTCAGGCACAGTTGCTCCAAAAAGCAGGTGGGAAGGCAAAAAAGAGCGTGGAGGAGAGGAAAAGAGGTGCTCGACGATGCAATGTGTGGGTGCACGGCCTGAACCTGAAGAGGGAGCGAAGAATCATATTGACATGGATTCTGGCTCTGTGTCGGGAAGGTTTTTGCTCGCACCAGCTGCTACTGCATCGGCCATGAAATCTTCCAGGGAACAAAGCTGCAAGGGGCTCTGCTCCCGTTTGCTGGCTTGATGGAGAAGCAATGAGCAAGCAGGCAGGCGCCTTTGCGGCTCGTGGTGACCAGAGCAGGGGGCAGGCGAAGGAGCAAGTGGCAAGGAAGAGGAGGGAACCACGCTGGGGTGCGGGCCTTGGTCCTCAGAAGGCAGGGAAGAGAAGCAAGGAGAAACACAGGAGATTCTCTATTAGTAAAACTAAAGACTAATTTGGGTGTGTTGTGCTGCACAAAATTTTTAAAAAGGCGAGTAGAAGCTAAATTAGGTGGTGTCACCTAATGGTTGCGGTGGAGGACATCTTCAAAGAGCAGAGACTTGTGGAGTGAGCTTCGCAAGGCAGCAGCTTTCCCCAGCTTTGAACCCTCGAGTATTTTGGCTGACAGGTCCCAGGATTCCTGGCCATTCGTTGTGTTGGGTAGGACTGAGGGGAGAAGTCCAGACCTGTCGAGGGCCCCAACCTGGGTAATCAGGTGCCCCTCTGCAAGAGCAGGTCCCCTGCTCGCAAAGCGGTGGCTCATTTCAGAGGCCCTCTCTGCACGCTTTCGCCACTGCTGTGCTGCCCGGGAGTAGGCTGGTGGGGAAATGATCTGGTCAAATTAGTTTAGCAGGTTTGCATCTTGCTGAAGGCTGCATCCTGACTGAGCCGAAACCTGCCTCCAGAAGCATGACCAGGGCTTACCGCAAAGACACAAGCCTACGTGAGAGTGTAATGGCATGCTGTTCCCTTCCTGCCCCTGCAAGAAAGGGAGGGCACCTTGGTTCCTCTGACATGGTTACTGCAAAGATCAGCTTTTGCACTGGCATGTGCTGGGGCAAGGCGAAGTGCTGAAGAGGTCCAGGGTTCAGCCTCACCAGACAAAAAATTGTTTAAAAAATTAACACGATACCCTATGTGTGTGTGAAAAGACCCTGTCCCCTAAGGACAATGGTGTTTGTAAAAAGATTTAGGGACAGGAGAGAGGCGTGCGTTTGACTTCAGTAAGAAAGATTCAAGAAGAGGCTGCAGGAGGGGAAACACACATGGGCAGAAACCCAGCTCCTCCAGAGGGGTCGGACGCAAGAGAGATAGCGAGGGCCCTTGTATCTTTCTTTCAGCAAGCGCCCCTGGACCACGAGGCTGTCCATCCAGGGATTTGGGGCTCCCCCTCGCAGCACCTCTTGCAATGGCTGCGAACAGTTTAGTGAGCATAGCCTGCCATTGCCCACCTTGCTGAACGTGCTGTGATGCGTACTCCGATTTACATGCATTTGCATCTCCAGACCCAGAACGCACGACCCAGAATGCACGCACACCACACCACGCACCAACAGCATGCTGTTTAACTTCCGCAGCTCCTCTGCTGAGAACCCGGAATGCACCTCCCCCTTCCAGGTGTTTCAGCTTCAAGGGCTGCCGCTTAACCACTTCCTGCCTTCATGGCCTATCTAAGCATCTCCTGTAAGGAACCTGACAGAAGCAGGTGGGGGGTTGGGGCCGAGAGTCAGCGCAGGCCAGGGGTGCCAGAGGGCGCATGTCTGCTGGAGTGGGGAGGGCTAGATCTTTGATCCCTCCCCCTCAACCCAGTATACTGTCTCTGACAGTGTGCAGGAGTGAATGGTCCAGCCAGAGTAAGGTTTCCTAAAGATACAACTGACTGTAATCCATCCCAAGGTGCTCTTGGGAGCAGGCAGGACAGCAGAAACTGAGGACAAACCAAAAATTGAGCCTCCTTTGGGACACATGTTGCTAGCAACAGCTTTGTGTGGGGAAAGCAAAGGTGTTGATATTTCATTGCCTGGAGAGTTTGCATCTGACAGATGGACTTGCCTCGGGCTCTCATTCACACGAGCCTGGCCTGGTGCAGAGCATTGAGGAGGCACTTGTCCCTTCTCTAGTAACCACCCCTGGTTCCTTCTAGAGAGCAAACAGCTTCCTACTTCGATTCGGCATCACTCCACTCCCCACTTCCCCACTGACAGGCCAGCCCTGTTGGTCTGTCCCTTCTTAGCAGAGCTGGTGCCAAGGGCCTGCGCCCCAGAAAGGGCTCACTGACAACACCTCCACTCCCCCACAGCACCCTGCCTGTTCACTCTGGCCCAGCAGCGCCAGCTCCCCGACCTGCTCACTGGCACGCCGTCCGTCACACGAGTGAGTGGTAGCAAGGACAGGAAGAGGCACCATGGCAGCTGGTGGCAGCAGTGCTGAGAAGGAAGACTCCCTGCAGCAGGGGCCCGTGGACGGTGCCAGGCGGAAGGGATTCAAAAACAGCACCCGGTGCGCCTTGCATGGCTTTGCTTCTGCTGCTATGTGCCTGGCCCTTTGCAAGAGGACAGATCCCTGCCCTGAGGAGTCTACAGACTTAGGACCTGGACAGAGCAAACACCATAGCAGGACAAGTTGGCAGGACTAAACAGGGGCAGGACACATGATTCCTTCTACTCCCTGGACTTAGCCTTAGTTGTGGGGAGGCTGGGGTGGGAAGCTTGTGGTCCTCAGCATCCCAGGCTCTCCAGATGCTGCAGGCCTCCGGTGCACTCTGCATGACCCTGCTGAGAACTGTGCTGCTGTCTGCTTCCTGTGTATGGTGCAGGGGGAGAGAGAGAGAGAAATGCAATGAGACGGGGGAGAGAATCACTGAACGGACTTGGTGGCAGAGAGAGACATAGCTATGCAATGTTCTGAAATCCATCAAAGTTCACGCCTGGCCCCAGCCCACTTAACTTTTCCTGTCACTCAGAGGTCCTTTGTGGGAAAAACTTTTCCCCCTCCTGCTGTAGGGCTGGAAATGTGCAGCCCTCCAGATGTTCGACTCCAGTTCCCATCAGCCGCAGTCATCATGGTCAATGGGTAGGGGCACTGGGAGGTGTAGTCCAGCAACACCTGGAAGACCACACGTTCCCACTCCTACCACCAGGCACGAGAACTAAGAGAGTGGTGAGTGTTTGCGAAATCCTGATGGTGTTGTGAGTTTCTGCTCTTTCGTGCTGACCATGCATGCAATCCTCATCCTTATTTTGCTCCTCCATCAGCTGTCGCTGCAGCGATCCAGCAGCTTTAAGGATTTCGCCAAGTCCAAACCCAGCTCCCCCATGGCAGTTGAAAAGCAGTTCAGCCTGGAGGAGGAGGAGCAGGTGAGACATTCCACCCCCTGCAATCATCCCAGGGCTTTCAGGACTGCCCATATATGATGGACTCAGACACCCCCCCCCCATGCCCCGCACCACACACACATACACCCCAGCCATGGCTCCTACACGCTACAGCAGGGACATGGCTAGCCTGGGGTCCATGGGATCTCTGCACCAAAGTTATTTCCCAGGGCCCCAAAACAATTCCCCAGAGCCCTTTGTGTCCATTGGTGTCCGTTGTGTCCGTTGGAATGAACCTTTCCCTCCCCGCCCCTTAATTGCCATGCAAGAGGTTATTTTCAAGGGGCGGGGAGGGAAAGGTTCATTCTCCCCCACGCTACCCCCCCCAAACATTTCTTTGTACTCCGCAGTCAGAATTAGGGCATTGTTTTTAATGGTTTGTGAGGATTTTTGAGCCCATCATCCTACAGAGTTGTGTGTCCCTGGTCCCAAATCTTTGAAGGACCCAGCAAGACACCTACTGCAAAGCATCTGGCCAACCAGCTTTGTCATGTCTTAATTCTCAACTGTGCAGCAATGGCCTCACCAGGGGTCCCATCTGTGGCCCAGCAGATCCATTTCTCAGAAAGGTAGGCCTCTGATGCTACGCCTCGCCTCCATGGTAGGCTTCACGCTGGGAGGAAATGCCAGGTGAGACCAGCCCTGAGCTCAGCTCCTCCCAACTGACTCCCAGGAGGGAGTTCCCTTCTGCCTTCTCTCAAATCCACTGATTCTATTTGTGCAGCTCCCTGAGGACAACCCGGAAAGCTCACAGCACAGCCCAGGCGACTCAGCTCGAAGCAGCAGTCTGAAGCTGGGCAAGAGATGGAGAGCTGCCATCTCCCGTACCATGAACAGGAAGACAGGAAAAGCAGCAGCCAAAGCACTGGCTGAGCAGGTAAGCTGGAGGCAATCTCAGCTCTAGACCTGTTCTGAGGTAGAAAACCTTGAGAAAGATGCCTTCAGTGGGTCCAGGGGACTCAGGACCCCTGCTGAGGTTTGAATCTTGCCAGGTGCTTAGTGAGACTGACTTCTGATGCCCTCTACCACTCCCGAGTCCAGAATCTGTTGCAAAACACCCACCCCCAGCCACAGGGCCTGGAGGGGTATCTGCAACTTCTATACCTAGGACAGCTCAGGTCACAAAGTCATTCTTCCAGCACTTGTCAAGAGTTTCTTAAAGCTGATGCTGGACCGACAAACAGCATGGCAGCAAAAGTGCCATTCCCATCCAGGACTGCAAATGGGGGAGAGGCCGGGGCTCAGTAGCAGAGCCCACACTATGCACACAGAAAGTCCCACACTCCGTGCCTGGCAGTTCCCGGTGAGGCTGGCAAAATGGCTGCCTGCAGTTCTGGAGAGCCACAGCTGCCAGTTGGTGTTGGCCATATGGGCTGGTGGACCAGTCAAGGGCAGCTTCTTAGATGTCGGTTAAATGGAAAGAGTACCATATACACCAGTGTGTAAGATGACCCTTGAAACCCAAAATAGCAAAGCAAAAGTCTGGGCTTCTTACATGCCTGACATAAACAGCCCAAAATACTGACTTGGTCTTATACGTGAGTCATCTTGTACACCAATATATGTGGGCGTTTTGCTAAAACATACTTCTTGGTTGCTTGTGGCACATATTACTACCATATATTTCAATATATAAGATGACCCTTGAAACTGAAGAGAGTGAAGCAAAAATTGGGGGTCATCTTATATGCCCAACATATGACAAACACCAGAAAAACAACCCAGATACAAAAAGACCAGCCCTTGCCTTATTACACGATTCACCTTATACACTGGTATATATGGCCAGATACCAATTAGAGGACACTTGCAAATAAAGGATGGCCCTCTGGCAGCCCTTCAGATAGAGAACTGTCTTCTGTAGAGTGGGACAGATGGCCACTCTCTTTAGCCTAGGTAACCCACAGGAACTTTCTTTCTGGGACTAGTAGCAGCTCGATGGGACCACATCCCATGCCTGCTTTTCATTTGCTGATTTAAACGAAAATAAAGCCCAGAGTGGTCACTAGCAAAGGCTTTGTGCCCTGCCTAGTCGGGCCCGTGATGTCTCCGTGACAGAGCAGGCACCTCGTGCACCCAGTGGCCCAAAGCCAATCCTACCTCCAGACCAACTTGTCTAGTTAAAAAGGTTGCCCCACTGGAAATGGCTACTGGCAGACAGCCACTAGCTTGGAGCAGGAGAGATGGGTGTTCCTCAACCTGGCACCCTCCAGAGATGTTGGGCTACCGTTCCCATTAACCCCGCAACCATGTGGGCTGGGGAGAATGAGAGTTACAGTCCTGGAGATCGCCAGATTGAAAGAGGGCCAAATGTAGCAAGCAAACATTGACTACCGTGTCTGTGTCTATGTCTGAGTCTGTGCCTGTGCTTTTTTTAAACCCAGACCATTAGTTTCTTAGGGAAAGGGTACTTCAGGAAGTGGAGATGAGGGTGGTGTGAAAAGCAGGCATGCTGCTGGCACAATTGGGCGGCATACAGATGAAATAAATGAAAATAAATGAAAATAAAAGGAAATGGGGCAGGTGTGGAAGGCAGGGGAGCCAAGCCAATTCTGCATTAGCACAGGGGCACTCTCAGCTTCACGTTTGCTGCCTTATTCCAGGGGGAGGCCGGAGACGAGGCTGCTGCATCACCCCTCCAGAGCCCTGTTGACGATGAGCCCCCCGTCTTTTCCGAAGCCACCGAGGCGGCTGGCAGCCTTCAGTCCCCAGATGGTGAGTGGCTTCTCCACCCGTAACAATCCCAGTCCGCAGGCTACCTAAAGCCTAGAGTTCACAGAAGGTGGGAAGGTCCAGCTTGGTGGGGTTCCCATGAGTGGACTCTGAACCATGCAGACAATGCCTGGGGAGATGTGAGAGAGTTTGAGAGATGCACGCATCAGGCGGATGGCTAAGATGGAAGGGGGCTGGGTGAGGCCTTTCACATCAAAGGCACGCAGCTTTTTGGCCCCGAGAGCTTGATCAGGCAATGCTAGGAAGGCATTTCCACACACACCCCCTAAGAGAGAGGATGCTTTCTCTCCAATTTCTGATGAAACATTAGACATCAAAGAGGATTCCCTCACTAGCAAGGAAGTCCCTCCCTTATCACCGCTGAAAGAGCAGAGACCAGGGAAATGTGTCTCTTGCAAGGCTTGCACCAGAACCCCTGGGGACTAGGGAAGCTCTTGCCAGCACAAGCATCAGGAGTTCCAGGCGGTGCAGCCTTTCTGGGGTAAGATTGCCAGGAACAGCTTGGCAAGCCACGTTTTTCCACCCACCACTTCTATCCATCATGTACTGGGCCCCCCTTCATCCAGTCCACCACAGGCTCAGTGCCCAAGTTGCATCCCCTGCAAAATCCACCCACACGTCCCCGGCCTGAACTCTCCTCTTGGTGCAGGAAGTGAACTCCCCAGTTCCAGACTGGAGGGGTGCAGCCCAAGCAGCGAGAAGGGAGGAGCGGCCAGCACCCCTCCGTACAACGGCCCCTTTTGTGGAAGGGCGAGGGTCCACACGGACTTTATCCCCAGCCCATACGACAAGGACTCTCTGAAACTTCAGGTGGGTAATGGCGCTTCCTTGAACCGTTCTCAAACAGGTAAGGCTACTTCCAGAGGTGGCTCCCCACTGCTTTTCTTCCTGCTGGCCCAGAGCAGCACACTAGCAAGGAAATCCGTTGCTGCAGAACGGATGTCTCCAATGGCAGTGAAGCCATGTATTCACTGAACTTTAAGGCGTTATTCTAGGCTGCCTGCAAATAGACTCAGTGCCATGGACAGTTTAATGTTTGGACTGAAACCCAGAGTGGATACACCAGCCCACCAACCTTGGAGCTGCCAGCCTGGGCTGGAGAGCAGCACACCAGCTTCTGATGGGTAGCAACAAGTTGCCTTGGCTTAGTCTTCTCCCCACCTATCCCCATCAAGTTTTGAGGCTTGCTATCTGATGCCCCTCCCTCTGGGGAAATGCTTCAGCAGCTTTGCTACAGATCACCAAAACTGCACATCTGTCCTCACATCTGGGTGAAGCAGTCTGGACCCTCAGAGAGTCACAGGCCTGCCGCTGGTGGGTTCCTGTGCTCTGGGCTGTATTTTACGGAGAAACCAAGTCAAAGGGATGCTGCTCGAAGACACAGTAATTCTGCATTTGTTACAGAAGGGGGATATCATACACATCATTGCGAAACCCCCTGTGGGCACCTGGACAGGTCTTTTGAACAGCAAAGTCGGGTCCTTCAAGTTTATCTACGTGAACGTCCTCCCAGAGGAGCGCCATTCCATGCCGGCGCCGAAGAGCTGTTCACGAAGCAGGAGCAAAAGGCCCAAGCCCAAGACGCTGCATGAACTGCTGGAGCGCATGAATCTTGAGGTGAGGACCTCGGCTGGCCAGCCAAAGCCCAAAATGCATGCACAGAGAGTGCTATGGGGTGGGCGGTAGGACACAGCACACATCTGACATGCAGAAAGTTCAGTCCGTGGCATCTCTCAGCAGGACTGGTAAACACCCAAAACTTTACAGACCCCTGACAGTCATTGTAGACTGAGCACCTTCCTAGGAGTTCATGAATGACTTCCAAGGTCAATGATTATGAGAGGTGTCGTCCAAAAGAGCTAGCGCATACTTCTGCTGAAGAATGATCAGCACTGTACCCAGTGAGTTAATGCAAGACAGCTTCCCACAGATTGGGTCCTGATCCTGGCTCCCAGGAGCTGCCTCGCCAAACCCAGATACCGGGGCCTGTCTAGCCTAGGATGGCCATCAACAGCTGTGCGAGAAGTGAGAAGGGTCTCCTTTAGAAGCACAGACTTGCTTTCCAAAGTTCCTGTACCACTAAAAAGGGGGAAATGAGGCAGTACACCTTGCTTTAGAAGCAAGTCTCTGTGCAGATGTCCTTTGCAGATGTGGCAGGAAACAGAACCACCAGTTCACTTGTGTGTGAGTTTGGGCCTGCCATTAGGCAAAGTGAGGAGGATGCTTGGGGGGGGGGATGCCCCTGATCTGTCCCCCAGATGTAGCACAGAATGCTTTCCCATGCCAGTCTTGGGACATGGGACAGCCCTGCTTGTATCGCAATTAGCAAAACTTCCTTAAAAATTAGATGCTCAGGAAGGGAATTACTTTGATACGCATTATTAAGCACACAAGAGTGCCTCATTCATTTGAACAGCAGAAACTGGATTTCTCACCCCTGCCCTCACAACACAGATTTCAGCCTCCTTAGGAAACTAACAGGTTTATTTTAACAGGAGCTTCCATGCACTAGGCAGGATGGGCTGCAGATGTTTTATACTTCAGTTCCCATAAGCCCCTGCCAGCATGGCCTTTGCCATGGATGCTGGGAGCTGGAGTCCAAAGCACCTGGAGATCTGCTTTTTACCCACCACTGAAGAGGCCACTTCATCGGATGCATCTACAGATCTGTGTACATAAAAAGCTGGTGTGTGTATATACAGATCTATATTTTTACCTATCAAAGTGGGTGTAGAGAGAGAGAAGGGAAATAGTAAATGGGATGAAATAGCCATAAAATGCAGCAGCAGCAGACAAGAGTAGTAACGTGACAACATTGCTTACGGCCCAATAGCTTTTCTTGTTTCTCACACTTCCTTTTTGCTGGAACCCCTCCAGGTATTTCCAGCTGCAGAACTGGGAGCAACCCCTCCCTGTAAAAAACACCCCCAACTTGCAACTAGGATGCAACCTCCACCCCATTCACTACATAAGTAGTGGCTCAGCACGGTCAGACCACCTAAATAATGACCAGCTGAGACCTTTTAAAGCATACACTGCATGTTGCTTTGTCTGCTACTGCCAGGGCCGCTCCAGAAGTGTTGGGAAACATTTATTTATTCCCAGCTTTTTTATACCACCCTATCACTAAAGTCTCCGGACATTTGCAACTGCCTGACCAAAACTATGGAATTGTAGCCTATGGATATAGGCACCTTCATTTGTCCTCCCACAAGCAGATGAAAGAACCATGCCTGCTGGAGTTTATAAAGCTTGGTCCACTTATACAGGGCTGCTCTGCTCACTTGGCTTCTAGTATCATTCTGAAGAAGCCCTTAAGTACAAACTCGGATTGGACCATCTCTGCTCCACACCCAGAGCAACACTTTTGCTGAAGGCCCTGTTCCGATCACTTCTATTGCATAGGGAGAATTTTTTTCCCATCTTATCCATGCTTTTCTGACTGCCTCACTTTCCGGAGCCTCCAAGCGTAAATGCCGCTGCGAGCAGGCTCCTTCTCCCATTCATCTTGCCAGGCTTTGCTCCAAGACACACTTCTTCCACAGTCTTTCCTGGAGGCTACCTCAACTGCATCTTCATAGTCCTTGCAGGGAACACAGCAGTTTAAAAACACACCATGCCTTTGATGGTTATTCAGCATCCTGCTGCTCGAATCCTCCACTTAACATTCCCACAGTGCTCGGCAACAGTATTGCTCTGGAGCATCTAAGAAATTTAAATGGCAGTTCCCAGGACTTTCTCGCTGGTGTTCCTCATGTAAGTAGCTGCTGGTGCTGCATGACCCCAGTGACATGCCCGGGAGTTGGAAGGAGCCTGACAACAAAGCATGTGGGAGAAGACCCCCTGCTGTCCTAAATTAGCATAACCTACACTGCACAGACACCTGTCCTGCCTTCTCTAGTTCATATGGGTCTAAGTCTTCTGCAGGGGTCGCATCAAGGGCTTCTTGATGCCAATCGGAGCTTTGGGGCTCTCTCCTTCCCTCTCCCCTCCCCACCTCAGGAGCATACTTCCACATTATTACTGAATGGCTACCAGACCTTGGAGGACTTCAAGGAGCTGCAGGAGACCCACCTGAATGAACTGAATATCACCGACCCGGAGCATCGTGCGAAGCTGCTCACAGCGGCAGACCTACTCCTAGATTATGACAGTAAGCACTTCAGAGATGCTGAGCTTCCTCTCTTCCTACCCTCAAGCCCTGTAGCTCAGTGCCAGAGCACCTGCTGTGTTTGGAGGAGGACACAGATGTCCCTCTGCCCTCTCTAGCGAAAAGGAGTCAATAGGAGGTGCAAACAGACTGCTGTTCTGCCCGAGTCCCGACAGCTGCTGCCAGTTACGGTGGCTAACACTGGGCTAGATCAACAGACAGGAGGCTGCCTCCTGTTTTCCTATAGCCTTCCCACCCCACCATGGGACTGCAGCGGGAGGCTCTCGTGGCATGCAAACCTTGTGATTTGCAAGCTGACATGGCAGCTTCTGCCCCTCGTTCACCAAGGAAGTGACTGCTGCGTCTCACCCTACAGCACGGGGGAAGGTGGCACAGCAGGCATCAGGCAGGCAAGCCACTGGGTGAAGGGGGTCCCCCCATTCCTGCAGCCGTGGCTCCCAGAACAGCTGGTCTCTCTCTCTCTCTCCCCAGCAAGCAGCGAGGCTGAAGATGAAGGAGGGAGCTTGGAGGCTCCGCTGGCCCCCGAAGAGCCAAAGGGGGACATTCCTCGGGATTCTGGATGTTTTGAAGGGACAGAGACGCTGGACAGTGGGCGGGAGGACTCTTAAGCTGGAAGAAGGGTGCCTGTCTCTCTCTGGCTGGTTCATGCTGAGATACAGACCCCGCCTGGGGGCTGGTTGGTTGGCCAATGCAAGCAGTTGTTCCAGGCACACTGATCTCGAAGCCAGAAGTTACAGCTGCCCTGCATAAGCTTCCTCTTTGGACAGAGAAACGGCACCACTGGTCTTACCACTCCTGGGTAAATAGGTAGCTCTCGGGGCTCAGAACCCGCAGCAATCTTCGGGCTAGAGATTGCAGGAAATGGAATTTGTATTTAGGCAAATCCATCTGTTCGCTTTCGTGCATGCAGTGGGCAGAAGCTGCCTGCCTCAGCTGTCCCCATATGCCCAACCTGTATTGGGTCAAATGAGTCCCTTCACAGCAGGGGCAACCCAAAAGGGTTGCTACTATAGCTAACAGGTAGAAAACTGGAAAGAGGACAGTCTGTGGCTGCCACTACCAAAAATGACCTGAAAGCAGGGAAAAGAAGGTGGACGCATGGCTTCTTTTCTCTTTGAATACACCCTTAAGTAGGAATGGCTAGCGCTTAGGAGACCACCCTGGTCAGCAAGAAGGTGAAATTGCCAGGCCACCCAAGTTGCCTAACAGTGACGCGCCGCACAGGGCGCAGTGGCCTGGGGAGGCGGTGCTGTGCCTTGCAGAAGGACTCAAGGTCTTCAGCATCAGGTTCAGCTTCCAGGGCAGGGCTCCCAATAAAGCTCATCTACCCTCAAAGTACAGGTGTGCTCTTGCATGTCACAACTCAAACCACGACACCTTTTGGGGAAAGGAGGGATAAAACCTGCCACTCTCACTGCTCATCTCGCCTCACCCCCGGAATTTTTCTTCTCCTGTGAAATGTGGCAGAATAGCTTCCACAAATATTACTGCCAACTTGATCTCCTAGTTCGTTGCCCCAACTTTCTCAGCCAAATGTAGGCAACCTGGTGCCCTCCAGATGCTTCAGTCTACAACTCCCATGTCCACTGGCTATCTGGCTGGGGCTGATGGGAGTTGTACTCCAAGCATCTGAAGAGCATCAAGTTGCCCACTCCAGAGCCTTCTCAAAAGCCAGGACTGGAGATCATGTGGAATCATACAGGGATGCGCCTAGAACGGCCTGGCAGCCAAAGACGATGCTTCACCTTGTCTCTCACTCCACCATCAGGCGCAGCAGCGACCGTGGCATGGCTTCTCTGTTTGTACCCAGAGGGCAGTGCAGGCAGGTTGGCTTTTGTTACATTACAAAGAGGCAGTGAAATCCTGACCCATCAATGGAGGCAGGAGAGCCTGAGATACCTGTGATACAAGCCCCGTACCAGAACTGGAGGTAGGCAGAAGAGGAATGCTGACGCCAAAGCCACACACACAAACAAAACCACATATCTAACGAATTCCAATGCCTTCATTGAGATCAGAGGAGCACACCGAAGCCTCAAGGCAGCCAGGACCATCCTGCTCCCTGGAGCAATTTGACACAGTACATCAGAAAATACACCCCAAACAAGACAGCTGAAACACTGTTAAGATTTGGTCAGTAATAGGGGAGAGTGTGGTAGCCTCTACCTTGTAGCAGGAAGAAGGGCAATGTTGACAATGGGTCAAGCTAACTCTGCCGGAGGTGCATCTACCTGTTCCTGCTTCCCACTACAGGCAGTGGGGGAAGAAAGCGACACAGAGACCACACCACCATGATAGAAGGAGGAACAACCATCTCCAGGTAAATCATAAGGGACATGCCAGGCATGCTGATTTTTCCTCTGCAGAGTGAGAGAGAGCACAAACTGAGCCAGGGTTGTTTTGCTACCTGGAAATAAAGTGGGAGCATGCCCAAAGGGTAGAGAGAGCTGGATAGGCAAGTGTCTCAAAACCAAGTAAAGACAGAGGGATGCAGCAGATCCAGTTCAGGCCATGATGCAAAGCAAAAGACCTGCTCCTCCTTGCACCTTTCCTTCTTACACTAATGGTCTTGGCCCCTGAGCAGGTTGGGTCTTGGCCAGGGCAGACAGATTTTCTGCTGCTTCCACAAAGGAGAGGCTGGCCATGACATATAGTATATATCTGACTCAGTGACAGGGAACAACACATGAGCAACTCTGATGCAGGAACGAGTACTTTTTGTAAATGAAATGAAAAAAAGCGTTCCCTGCACAAAGCATTTCAACAAACGAATTCTAGTTTCTCACATCTCCCCCCTCCCCCCACATTTAGTTTTCAATGTGCAGGGAGGAGAGGGGTGTTTTTACTTCTTTAAACAGGAGAGCATTTTGAAGAAATGTACTCCCCAACGGCAGTTTAGCAGGCCCACTCACCCTGGAGTCAAATGGGTCAGGCTTCTGCCAAAGTGCAGTTTATCTCCACTCTGAAGAGCTGACTTGAAAGCTAGCTAGCCACTCCGCTGGCTTGTCGGGGCAGATAGGGCTACCTTGTCGGCCCTGTTTTTGGCAGTTTACCATCACGTACATACAGGGAGCAGGCTGGGAGACACAAGGAGGTCTGAGCAGAGGTAACCATTAATACCAGGAGCACCACTCAGCACTGAGACAACTGAGGTCAGGGCACCAGGACGGGTACGGGCAGCACAGAAGTCAGAAGAGGCACCCGCCTCCCTACCGCCTGCCCAACTACACGCCGTTGCCTTCTATGCTACCCTGTCACTTTGCCCCTCTTGTAGGCTACCCCACTGCAGACCTGAGTGACCTGCTGGCCAGAAGGGCAGGCGAGTCTTTTCCACAGCCAATCCAGGCACCGATGCTGGAAAAAGTGGCTGAAAGGAGGATTAAGGGAAGGTCAACAAGACTTACTTATCTGGGAGGGAGGGGAGAAAGAGGAAGGAGAGAGACTGTGCCACAGAGTTCCAGTACCTAGATGGATGGGGCCTGGGGCACTTAAGCACCTGGGGCTCTCATGGCTGGCTACTTTATTATGCAGGACCCTCGGGCCTCCATGCTACCATATGGCACCATCTGTAAAGGAACTTTTAGGAAGGGTGCTACTTATGCCCCGAGCTTCCATTAGCAACTTGGCTCCACTGGCAGCTGAATTCAGCCGAAGACACAATACTGCAATCACAGGTACGATGGTACAGAGCACTGCGCCCGGCTCCATCTTCTTCCCAGTTGGCTCCACACGTTCGCATATCAGGGCTGGGGCCAGAGAGGCACTCACTTAGTACTAGAGATGAAAGGCAGGGAAAAATGACCTGCTCTGCCAGCAGCAATGGCCTCGTGAGAGGAAGAGTCCCTTAGCAGCACAAGGGGGGTGGGGCTCAGCATCCATGAGAAGGGAGTGCTGGCATCCTTCAGTCTGCAGACACTGGTGACAAGCACTGCTGAGCAAACCGCCAAAGGAGCACGACACGGCCACGGTCCAGTCCACGGTCCCCCCCTTGCCCTCTCTGCAGTGTCACAAGGAGTAAGCCAAACAAAAGTAGTGTTCATATCCACTTCGGAGGCTAATGCGTTGTCTGTCTGTGATCCAGGGATGGAACGGATGGTTCTGCAGCAGGCGGCTGCGCTGTTTCTTGTGGCACCTTGCACGTTGGCACAGGGAGCTGGAGAGAGAGATGGAAAGGGAGAGGGCTGAGTCACAGTAGGGGCCATCGAAAATCCTGCTTTAAAGAAAAGGCGAGGACTTCCAGAAATGCATTTGGAAGGCAAGAAGTGGCAAAGCAGGAAGCATTCTCAGAGCTTCTCAGGAACCCTGAGAATCCTGCAATCGCTTCTCCTGTCCCTTGGCCACCAGGAGGAGTCAGGGCTAGTGTTAAGCCTATGAAGGTGTTTGCCAAGTATATGCTAAACAAGCCAATGAATCCTACACTTACCAAGCTTTCCTCTGGGAGGACACTGCCACCCTCCGAGGCACCACTGGCATCTTCTGTGCTCCGTTCTTCTTGTGTTCCACGCGCGGAACCAACATTGCTCTCCTGGGCAGTACTCTCCTGCTGCAAGATGCCTCGCCTGTCCAGCACACTACAAGGAAGGGAGCAGGGATAAAAACGCTTTCTTCTGCCCCACTGGGAAGAAAAGGCAAGGAATATGCATAGCAACTGGCTGTGGTGAAGGCATGCGATCCCAACCTGCGCAGAGGCTGAGATACGGACAGGCAAGAAACTAAATGGAGATGCCCGTTGGAGAAGCTAGTCGTTTCCCCATCTCAGAAGTGGGTGAAAAGCATCAGCGGTTTCTCATCACTCTGATGCACACAAAGGGGCTTTCCGCCCAAGCAACCCATCCCACTCTAAGCCCACCGTGATACACAGCACAATGTCCAGGTCAGATCGTTACCTGGGAGGCAAAGGTCCACACAGCACCTCACAGCAGTTCTTCACAATGTTGCCATGACTATATGGATTCTGCACACGGTTTTTCCCAGTCCAGGAACCCTTGATCTGAAAGGACAGAAGGGGCCCCAACAGAACCCTGAACAAATGTCTGCACGGATATGCATAACGTCTCCCTGCGCATTAAAAGCACCCATCGTATATTGGCTTCTCTTGGCACCAGGCTGACTTTGCTACTACTGGAGTCCTTCTCTCGTTCATACAGAGAAGTTACACTCCCACAGACTGATACACCAGCCAAAAATTCTTTACTTCATACAGTTCAACAAATGTTCTTGTCTGGCTGAGTATATAGGCTAAGCTTTATTTTGCCTAATAAGTTGCATCTGAGAAAATTACTTCCTGTTTCAGTCTTCAAAGGTCATGCTTGAAAAATGGGAGAAGAGAACAAGCTAATGGCAACAACAGAGAAGAAACCAGAGACCTATCTTCTCCCCATTCCAAATCAATCCAGGGGAAAAATGGAGATGTTTTAGAAACGAACCCACTATGGAATTGGAAAGAGAGCTAGTGAATTTTTTGGAAGTAAATCCAATGGACCGAAAGCCATCCAAAGAAAAGCAGACATGGTTTTATTTAAGCTTTACTCCTGCTTCAGGGAACAGCAAAAGTCAGGGCTTCCATGGGAATTCCAAATCTGGGAGCTAGCCACCTCTCTCTCCCTTCCTGTTCTCCGTGTGTGTGTGTGTGAGAGAGAGAAAGAGAGAGCGTGCACTCACATCTTCATTAGTCGTCTGATTCAGCGCTACGAGGAAAGTGTGGAAACCAGTCAAACCCACCACAGACCATAGAGTGAAGAAGCAGATCAAAACCTCCAGGGCTGTGAGAATCTGAGTTAGGGAACATGACTGGCAGTACAGAATGCTTTGCTTCTCCCTGCATCATAGGCATCACACCCTGTTGGCCCTGCATGGAGAAAGATGGGAATAATCTCTTCCATTCAATCCCTGCACCCAGCAGATTTAGGGTTAGGGTTAATTCCAATGCAACTGCATTGGAAGCAAAAAGGATATGTCCCAGGGGTTTCTTTCAGCGTATTCAAAAAGCCAATCTTCAGGGATTCTGAGTGAGAAGAGAGCAAATATCAGATACAGGTATTAAGCAAAATGCAGAACCCACCACCCTCACCCACTTCCTAGATGTTCATCCCAGATCTTGCAACAGAGCCCTTTCCCCGCAACCCCACAATACAGACTCACTCAGGACGACGTAGACGATGTTGAAGGAGAAGATGTAGATCGTAAGAAGAGACAAGGAAAGGATGAAGAGGTAGAAGTAACGGTAGTTCCTCTTCCCCACGCAGTTCCCCACCCAGGGGCAATGATGATCAAACCGCTCTGCAAGAGCCAGACAAGGAGGTCAGCTGCTGCTCTCTGTGCTGGCCGTGCCATTCGCAGAGGCTGGCCAGGGTGCCTGTACCAGAATTCCACTAATGTGCAACGTGTGGAGTGTAATTCCTTGCACTATGTTAGCTAAGAAAACATGCGTATAGTCATTCTAGGGGGGAAATGTCGCCAAATAGCGGTTTTTCCTTTCCATGCACACATGGCCTTGGGAAAAGGCCCCAGTTGTGACAGCATGTTATCACATCCCAAGGATGGGGGAAGCTCCTTTTTTATATAACCAGTAACTAGTAAAATTATTACATGTGAATATTATAGTTGATGGCAAAAGCAGAAGGGGACGGCAGAGAATGAGGTGGCTGGATGGAGTAACTGGGGCAGTGGGTGTGAGCTAAAGTGGACTCTGGGGGACAGTGGAGGACAGGAAGGCCTGGAGGAATGTTGTCCATGGGGTCGCGATGGGTCGGACACGACTTCGCGACTAACAACAACAACAACATTATATTTGGGAGTTCCTCCTCCAACAGAATCAGTCTGAACAACGCTAATAAAGCCCTACTCTCTGGAAGAACTATCTTCATCTTGCCAAGGGGAAGTTCCCGTTCACACTCCTCCTAGACAGCCTGAGTACCACCTAGGTACAAAAATTGGAAGCCAAGAACCATAAAGCAAAACAGAGTTCCTAGCCTTTTAAAGCTCCATAAAGTTGAAGAGAGGAGTACAGACACAAGGAAAATGCCTGTCGAAATTTTCACTTTTCAGAGTGATGGAGATTCAGGATCCACCAGCTTCTGGTACCTTTCATGACTACCAGAATTCAGCAATTTGTAGCAGGGAACTTCTGCTTTTTGGCGTCCTGTACAAAAGCCTGCTGCTGCCACCAGCCATCAGAAGAATGCCTTTGCTAAGTTTCATTCCCAGCCACAGACCCAGCCCTGCAAGGCTCTGGGCCCAGCTCCATCACTCACCCACACAGTTATCACAGATGCTGCAATGTGAGGCACGGGGCGGACGGAAAATCTTGCACGTATAGCAGTACTTCAGCTTCACTATCTGGTTATTGATCTGGAAGTTCTTGATGCGTGGGGGTGGCCGCTGGCCTGGTGGCACAGTTCCATTGGTTGCTTCTGAAAACAAAAGCCAGTTGTTCAGGAAGCGCTTCAAGTACATGCCTACCTCTGGGCAGGTAACGGTCGCCACTCTTGTATGCACGTGCACACAGCTGCCCTACCACGTGGGAGCCATGGAGAACGTATTTCATATCCACAGGCTCAGTCAGCTGGGATTCTGAGGCTTCGAACAGCTGGCCCCACTTACCGATCTCCATTTCAATGAACGCTGCTTCATCAGGGAGGGCTCGTGGAATGACCCCTGGGTCACTGAAGCTTGTCCGCAAGAGTGTAGCCATTGCGAACAGGAAGAGGACTACTCCAAAGACAGGAATGGCTGGAGAGAGATGGACAGCCAGGTAGCGACACCTACAGCAAGAGACAAGTCCGGAAGACCTACTGTGTGACAGATTATACGACTCTGAAGGGGTTCTATAGCATTTCATTAAATGGCATTTGTAAATCCTCACAAAACTGTTTGTTCAACATTCAGTGTCAAAGATCCAGAAAAGGTTCGTGTCCACAAAAAATATAATTGCACAAACCAACCTTCACGGATTACTAGAATCACACTGCAAGTGCAAAACGTGGTATTTGCTAGGGACATTTGCATTTTAAAACATTTTTTTTAAAAAACAAGATTTTTATATTATATTTTCCAAAGTCAGTGTTAGTTGACAAGAGTTTGGAAACACCCGAGTAACTTCTATTTTATTCTTTTATTTGGTTTAACACTGGATACAAAATATTTAAGTGTTCTCCATAAGCTTTCAAGTTTTCATATGTGGCTATTACTGAAAGTATAACTTGCAATGTGTTTATCTGCCCTAGGAAGCACTGTAATGAAACAGCAGCCTTTGAAAGGTACTTATTTTCGTAGTATTTTGGTACCTAATCATTTGTTTTATACAAGCTCGATGTACAACATGGGTGCAGGCAACACTGGCAGGGCTCGCTTTTGCTCTTGCAACCGAGTCTTGTGGATCACAACATATCCGAGAACCGTAGGGCTATCACTTCTAGCATTACAAAAGCGTGGGGGCAGAGTGGGGTGAAAGCCACCCATTAGACCGGGTGCACTTTGTCGATGCCACCCTCCTGCACCCACCTGCCATTTTTTAAATTACCAATTTGTTTTCCAGTTATTTATTTGCATGCAGTCCAACCATTACATCAACAAAAGATACTAGGTGCTAAGATAATATATTTACACCAAGTGAACACAAAGCTGGATGATACAAAATAAATGTAGCACACTGGAGCTCTAGATACCTTGATTACATTCTGCTTTTCTTCCATGCTGGAACTCCGGAAGACAAGCACAAAGCCTTCAAATGCGGGCGGCTGCCTGATACAGTCAGTTTACTGGACCATCTAAGTCAGTGTTGCCAACTAATGGTTAGTGGCTTTCTGGGACCAAGCCTGGAACCTTCTGTATGCAAAGCATATTTCCCATTCAGGCAGTGACTGGACCCAGACTGGCTCAGCTTCAGCGACTGCTGCATCATGTGCCTTCAGGCCACAGCCCCGGCCTTTTAGAATAGAACAGGCAGGAAGGAGAGAGATGCTCTTGCGATTTTTCTACCTTTATGGTAATGGCCGAGAGAGGGAATTTTGCCAAGATAGAGAGGCGGTAAATAAACTGCACACCAAAGAGGGATGGGAGGAAAGTGAGAGCGGCGGCAGCTGTGGCGGAGTAGAGGCACAAGAGAAGGGAGGCGAGGGAGCACCCAACCCCATCAGCCGCTGCCAGCTGAGGTGGCCCCTCCCCCTTCTGAAAGCCTCAGAAGCAGAATACTGAGAGTTGCTCTGCCTTCCCTGCTGCAGCCAGCAGAAAGCCGCCAAGGCTGCACATTGGGGCTGGGCTCCATGCATCGTTATGCTTTCTTTTCCCATGTCTTATTCTCTCCCTTAGATTCTCATTCATGCACTCAGTTATTTCTAGCACACAATTTCTCAGGCTCCACCTGCATTACGAGCATTCAGCTCTGTGCCAAGACTCCCAATTCCTACGTTTGGAAACGAAAATGCGTTCTGAAAAATGTGTGAATGATCATTTTGTTCAATGCTCTCTGCTTCTAAGAATGCACGTCTGTTTCAACAACAACTGCCCACCCCCCATATAGGAAGACACTGGTGTTCCAACATGAGTACCTACAGACCATAGTAAAGTGCTTTTCAGGGCAACTGTATGCACTTCGAGCAGCATTCACATTACTAACCAATGGGATCGGCAACCACTCCTTTCGAAAGAAAGCATTCCTACAATATTTGTGGTCACATCTTTACCTAAGCAAGAGAACTTGTGTTTTGACAGCAAGATAAACTTTGGCAGAGTATATTCAAATGTAAAAGGCACTTTAAGCGTCCGTGGACATATGACGACTGACAAATTCATTTCCCAGCACAACTGCAAAGCCATAGCTTGATGCTTTGAACAGGATTTTTCAGTCACGCTACACATTTTAAAACCCAACTGCTACATTTGGAGACTTATGCAGAAATAGAGGTCTCTGGTCTTGCTGGCAAGTGTAAAACGTCTGTTGTCTGCCACTACTTGTTAAAGGGCCCGTATTTGAAGACTCCCCCCACCCCAAACTGAATGATACATCCCTCCAGCGAAGCATACCTGGTCCTCAGGTGGGAAAAGCATTAGAAGCCAATTGACCAAACTGGCTCATGACTCATGATAGACTCATGATAGAAATGACTCATGATAGAAATGCAGATATCTGATGCACCTCTCTCTGCTCCATTGGCCTCCTTGGGTATGCCTCCTGTCTTCTCAGACTATCAAATCCACTTCACACTGTTTAAGAGATCCTAGCATGACAAACCTGAGCAAGTGCCGGGCATCTTCTTAAAACTTTGAGCACCATTCAGCAAATCAGCACGGGCAAAAGCAGTGCCATCACGGAAAGGGAGACTTCCGAACGCAGTTTGAGCCGATTATAGGCATAGCACACAGCTTTCTCCTCCTTGCTTTTATATAGCACTGCCTGGTGATTCAGAGGCAGAAGTATACCTACATTTCTATTTCCCATTCAGAAATCCTGCAAAACAGATCCGTGCTGGGTACTCCAGGGGTGCGCCCTGCTGCCCACCTGCCTTTGCCTCCAAGGGCCAGCAGCTCTTTAAAGCAATTAGTGCTAGAAGCACATGCAGACTACTCTACGGTTCTTTGCTACAGCTCTCAACCTAGAAATCAAAGCACTGAGCAACTCGAGCTGCCAGGTCCAGTTTTAGATAGTTGAGAGAGTTATAACAACAGCATGATGAGAGACGAAGCGGCCGGACTGCAAGTAGCCATGTTTCTACTGCTGGCCAGCGCTACCTGGCCCAGATAAGCATGGCTAGACTATGGCTAAAACCAGATGTCCACCTCTCCCTTTTGTTCCAGCAAGTATCCGCTCAGAAAGAACACATATCCAATGTCCTAAATCGCCGCATCAGCTTTTTGAAAAACCAACCACCTCACCCAAACAAACGAGAAGCACAGGTGGCCAGAAATGAATGATATGTAATGGATGTACCTTGCCCAGGGCAAAGTCAAGTTGTCAAGTGAGCATAGTAACAGATAGCAAATCCAGGAAATCATGCCAAAGAAAAGTGCAGTTTTCCACCTAGTTTAGCTGGCACTCCTCTTGAAACCCCAGCTGCCCTCTGGAATGGAGGGAACCCCTGTGGTTGACAAAAGCTCTCCCACCAAACAGAGCCTTGACAGCTTTTTGGTATGCTGCATGCATATGAAGCCAAGTGGAAAGCTTGGAACGCATGATGAGTCTGATCAAATGTAAGTGGGAATGCACTATCAGGCTTACTTTGTGGCAATGAGGAAAGCAAAACATTGTTCTCTTCCACCAGAACAGCGCAGTCCAACAGACTAGATATATATCTGGTCCCAAGGAAGACTGTCAGGACCAAACTGCAAATAATTTGCAAGACTTGCTGAAGCGAAACACTAGTTTCTCGTTTAGACTAGTGCAATGTGTTGCATGTAGAAAGTCCCAGCCTGATTATGGATCCAATTTAAAGCACTTTAAGCAAAAGCCCCTAATTAGTTTGGGATCAGGTTACTTGAAAGACTTCCTCCACCTATATGCACCAAAACCAACACGAAGTCGCTGAGTAGTTACAACTCTGCACATTCACAATAGTCCTTGATTTTATCCTTTCACCATGTCCTGGTCTCACCTCTTTTATTATATCTGTGCAAAGAGGTGGTGCCAGGATTATAGTCAGCAGGGCCTCAGCCAAACATAAGAGAAGCAGCTTTGATTCAAACTCCTCTTTCCCCATTTAGAAGCACTGCAGGTGTCCAGAATAACAGTGTCTGCTTTTAGCTCTAAGAATAAGTTGGTGCTGGTAGGTGGGTGCAGGGAAAAACAGATATTGAGGTAACAAAACAGGAGTAGCTTTAGCACACAAGGATAAACAGAAGTGACAAAAGAAAGGTTTTAAAGTTTCAGATTCTACAACCTGTGAAGTTCAAATAATAAGTTGCCAATAACATAGCGCGCAAACTGTCTTGTATGCTTAAGACATCTGGAATGTTTTCCCCATTTTCTATTTCTAGTCTCTTGAATCACCAATCAGGCAGTTACGTGCAAGGTGACAGGTAGGACCTGTGGTTATTCCTAAACTTTTTACCTGAAACTAATTCTTGTTAAATATATCAACTTGACAAATGTTCAGTGTTCTCAACTAGAGAATAGCATATAAGATTGTTCCTACATAGAATACTTATCTGGGAACAGAGACAAATGTTACCCCAATGAGAAATGGCCATATCATATGATAAGCAAACAAGTTCTATGCATTATTGTTTTGTGATAATTTTGTAAGTACTAATAGTGCTGCTGCGAGAATAAAAGAAATGGAAAGGAGCAAAGATTGGGAGCAAGTGAAGGAGAAAAGGAAAGAGTCATATATACTGCCTTGAGTTGTGCAGATGCCTCATTAAGATATCTCCATGAGCCTGTTTATACATAAATATTATGTTTAGGAGTAACTGTAAGTTGATGGGCCTGGAAGCACAAATCAGGGTCAGAAATATAACTCAGTCCAACATGCCCTTCCATTTCGCCAGCTACTGTTTGAATGTATAGCGAGTGGCAGGAATGAGGATACCAAAACACAATCCAATTTTGTGCATTAACTGCTAGATAGAAGCAGGCTCAATCACTCTCTTATCCTCATGAATACCACTCACACAATGTCCTAAGCGGCCCATTACAAACGTGAGGAAGCAGAGGCCAACAGAGGACAAAACATTTCTAGAATACAGAGCCTCTGATGGGTTCAATAGATGAAGGATTCCTGATACCCAGTATCAAGTGTACACTACCCCATGGACAAACATACTAAGAAGCCTGAAGATCACAACTTATACTGTGATTCTGTATTAACCTCTTCCTACTCCATGAGCTAGTCCTCATGAAGTAGTGTGTCTTATTTCCAAGTACAGTATATTTGCAATGGTTTTAGAGAAGCCATTCAGAAAGGAAAGCAAACTCATGAGGTATCTTTAGCCATTGCTAATTATCAAGGATTACTTTATACCAGACTTAAATAATTTATTGAATATGTATTAGATAGACTTCGTGCTCAACTACATTAATGTAACTTCAATGTAAACATTTTATTAGCATTTGTAAACATTTTGTCAAGGTAAACATTTTCTTAAGAAATCAAGTTCCCAAACTCACTAGCTCTGTATTCTTTGTATCATTTTAATATACACTTACTTGTGTTCAAGGCACAAGCATTTTAAAGTGAAACAAGAAAGCACACAGTTCCAAGGGGAATATCCCAATTTCAGCTCTGAGCAATGCCACTAAAATAAAATCACAGGGCTTGTAGCAAGATTTTAAAAAAACGTTTTAGCTCACCTTTTTACAAGCATGCACTCACCTGGAATCTATGTCACAACACAGCTTCCAGCAGTGTGTTTGGAAAACCACTTTCTGGAAAGAGTTCTCATTTGTCCTGGACAAATAACTAGCTGTGCTATAAGGTTTTTAATCCAGATATTCGGCAAAGTAAGCAAGCAAGCTATAAAGCAGTTCCGTTACTATATAGTCCATTTGCTAATGAATGAGGAAATCATTTGAGCCAGCCAACAGTTCTCAGAAATGATGCTGACAGTGTAACCGGCATAAAACAAGCCCTAGCGATGTCTTTGTTGTATCATTTGCTAGTTCACAAGCCAGCGCCATCAGACCATTTTGTCAAACGTCACTCATAGTATGGAAAAAAAAGAGCATTCGTACAGCAGCAATTTGTGCCCAATTTACAGTACAACTACATGCAACTAACAACCTGAACTCATAGCCTGTCTGCGAACCAAAATATTGGGCAAAACATCATCAAAATTTTGGCTGCACAGTACTCCATACTGCCTAAGAACCAGGCCCTAGAATTCCAGAACACATCACCCTTCACTCTATGAGTAGGGCCAAGGAACAATGGCATTGCATTAAATTTACAAATTTGATTCAGACATGTTAGATTATAAACTGATTAGGACCAAAATAAGAATTCTAAGCATAGCAACACAAATATTTACCAGAACTGATCAAGAACGATATAGCTTGAGTTTCCCCTTAAAATAGCAGGGAACAGATCAGATTTCTGAAGTACTGTCATTCCAGAAAGGAAACTTGGAAACAAGTTTCACAAAGTTCTGCAGAGGTGACAAGATTACAGATCGAGTCAAGCATTTACCTCTACAGATTCTTATTAACCATATGGATTTTGCTGGAGAAGAGAGATTCTAAGCAATGAGAATGTGGACTGCAGCTCAACCAACCTGTCCCTAAAACACCCACACAAGCCAACGTTTCAATCATTGTGAACTTACTCAAAAGCAAAGAAGAGGGCACATGTTCCCACAATGAGAAAGAGGGTCAGGTAGAAGATGCCCTTCTGTCGGGCCATCATGATACGCCCATCGCAACAAAATGTGTTTCTTCCAGGTAGTTTCTCCCATTTCCGTATCACCTTCTTCCTTGCTATCATCACAGACATGGCTGCGCCTTCACAGAAGGCAGAGCAGCTGAGCGATGGCCCGTTTCAACTCCAGACAGTGGGACACACACACCATCCTCAGAGATCCACCCTCAGCCCCTGGAGAGATAAGGGACAGAAAAATCAGTCAGTACAACTCTTCACAAGGCACCTCGAATAGAAAAACTGACCCAGCAATAATTACTGGGCACATATCCTGTCTAACACACCCACATCCTATTCTGAGTTTTAGTCACTCGCTATTCAGCACCCTCATGTGATAGAAGTGTCTGTCTTGCCCAACTGGAAGCAAACAATTTGGCTTGTGCTGTAACTCCTAGTATCTACTTGATCCCAGCAATCTCCAGTCATTTGCCTCTGCCTTCTAGCAAGTGAGTCTAGCTAAAGAACCCCAAGATACATTGTGGCTTGACAGTTCTTTACAGTGCTTCTCCCCCACCCAATGAATGCCAGAGAGGCCCTAAGAATCATCACATTTCAGTTTTACTCTCCTTTAGGGAAGGGATCAGTGACAGAACCCCCTGCTTTTCATGCAGCAGGTCCCACATTCAAACCCCAGAATCTTCAGGTAGGACTGGTAAAACTCTTGCCTAAAATCCCAGAGACCTGCTACCAGTGCTACCAGTCAATGTTGGCGGCACTGGCCTAGAGAAACCAGTATAAGGAAACTTCCTAGGCTCCTAAATGACACATTGGGTTGGATTGCAAAGAGTAAAGCCTTAGCCAAACAAAATAACGATTTACATGCCTTGCATTCTTAGAGTGACCATATCATGCCATGTGGATTTCCTAGCCACACACACATCAGTCAGTTAACACCCTGTATCACAGGGCCACAAAACTCTCTGGCAGGCAATCCATGAGCCACGTAATGCTCAAAAGAATGCTCTCCCTGGTGTTTTACTCCAGAATCATCTATTGCCACAAATGTCCACATTTCTGCAAAAGGCAGTCTAGCACTAGTTTAAAAGAAAGGCTTCCTCATGTGTTTCCGCCCCACCTTATTTCTCCCTTGTTCTTATCGCTTCTCAATTGGAAGCAAACAAGTTGTTTCAAGCAAACATTTAGAGCCTAGTCCACCTTTCCCCCTTTGCTGTGCAAAGTTTTACCTGCCCACATCACTCTAACCTATTTGACACGAATATGTAAATAAAAGTGGCGATTCCTCATCATGTACTGGAAATGAAGAGGGTTCCACCATTTCCCTGGGATTCTGGACATAGACTTAAAATAATATTTAAAACAAACATTCTAATTGGTCTACATGCTGGCATCAGCAGACAGAAGAAAAGAACAAGCCGGATTTCCTCCATTCCTTCTAAAACGTGCTTATAGTCGGGAGTGAAAATTCTAATGAATGGCAATGACTGAGCATCAGATAGTGAGGGGGATACAGAAGACGAGTTAAGCAGAAGCAAAACGTGGCCTCGCATAGATGTGACATTTGCGATTCGCCCCCCACCCCACTCCATCTTATAGCTTCTGGGAAAGCAGGTAATGTGTGTGGGAAGGGGGGGCGGGTCTACTGAGATCCTGTCACAAAAACACGTGAGAATCTCTGCCTTTCTTTGGAATGAAGAAGCACCCGCCCAAAACGCTCGCTTTGTTTATTTTGGTTTGATTACTACGAGACATGGACCTTTCCAGCCGATCTCTCCCTATTCCCTGCTTTTACACCTACGTTTCCGCAAACAATAATATCCGTATTAATGCAAAAGCACACATTACACAACCGATGACAGATCTCTCTCCGTCTCTCACCCCACCCCACCCATGCCCGCATTCAATCAAAGCCCAGCCACCTCAAGCGGCGAAAAAGCAAAGTAATAAAGGAACGGGAGCAGGAAAGGCTGAGTCGAGGAAGCCGGAGTTCACCCCCTCCCCACGCTCCCTTCCAATCCGGCCGCTCATTGTTTCTCCATGACCTTGCGCCCTCTTTCCGCAAGGATCCCGACGAACCGTGCAGCTCTCTCCAAGAATACAAACCGCGCACAAACCCCGCGATCGGACTCGTGCGACACGCGTATCTTCCACTCCCACGTGCGCCACGAGGAAAGGGAAGCGCCGCCACACAAGAACACACCCAACAGCCCCGGGAAGGCTGGCTGGCTGGCTGGCGCTGCAAGAACCCTCCCTTGGCCGCACAGCGATGGGAAAGCGAGCCCGTGAGCAGGAGGACGAGGCCCGCTCGGGCACCACACCCCACGCGTGACTGACACGCGCGCGCGCAGGGCGCGACGCGACGGCACGCCACGCCCCCCCGGCGAGGGAGAGCCAGGCCGAGGCTCGGGGAGGCCGCGCTCCGCCCTCAGCCGGTTACGGCCCCAGAGCAGCGGGAACGGGAATGGGAACGGGAGCGGGAACGGGGCGCCGGGCCGTCCCCCCCCCCCCCCCCGCGGCGGCGCGCATCCCGCTCTCACCTGCCGCTCAGCGCCGCCCGGGCCGAGGCCGGCTTGGGCCGAAGCCTTTCCGCTCAACCCTCCGGGCAGGGGAGGGGAGGGGCCGGGGAGAGGAGGGGGAGCGGAGGGCGGCTCCTGATTGGTCGGACTCTGTCTCGGGCTGGCCTCCTGCTTCCGAAAGGGACGCCTGATTGGATTGGCGTCGCCTCGCTCACACGCGCCGTGACTGAGGGGAGAGGCAGGCGCTCGTGGGGCTTTTTCCTGTTCGATCTCCCACTAGGAGCCCGTGAGACGGGCAGCGTGGGCTCCCTCACTCGGGGGCCGCCGCCGAAGTCCCAGACTAGGCGACGCAATGAAGCAGCAGCGGGTTCTCCGCTCAGGATCACGAGGGGAAAGGAGAGAGGGTCTTTGCTCCCCGTCCTTGGAGAGGAAAGGGGAGTGGGTATCCTATTGGACGACTCACGCGTCAGAACTGCCTTCTAGTCCGGGCTTAGACTTTTTATTGGTTGAGCTGTACATCACTCGAAAAGATGATTGGGCGGCTTGATAGGCTGGGCTAAGGGGCAAGGCCCGAGCACGGGCTATCAGCATTTCTTGCGTCAATAAATCTAAGCGGGAGGGGCAGGGCGTTGTGTAGGCACCGATTCAGTGAGGACAGGTAATTGGCCCGCCTCGCTGTCCGACTCCCAAGGAGGCGGGCTCAGCCAGCGAGCCCTGTCCTCATATTTCAATAGCAAATGAACTCTCCGGAGGTCGCGGTGAAGAAATAGCTGTTGCTTCTTTCTTGTGTTTACCAGGTTTCCTCCTAAAGCACTAGGTAAACTTTCGTTGTAAATTTGCATCCGTTTTAATAATTAACTTACCCAAATACGGATGTCACGTGCCCTTAGCCATCCAAGACAGCGCAACAGCGGCCCCTAGAGCGGAAAGAGGGGACGAAGGGCGGAAGTGCTGTAAAAGTCTGGCTTCGAGGGCGGAAGTGCTGCCCCGCTTTACGGTAGGGGATTTGCGGGTGGTTCTAGCCGGGTTGAGCACACGTGCGGTGCACGGTATCTGGACTCGAAAGGAACGGAGTAACCTCGGTAATCCCTCTCATGGCAGCCATGGAAGAAGAAGAGCCCTCGAAGAACGAGCTGGTCATGAGTGACGACGACGACGAGGAGGTCTGAGTCTCAATCCATTTATTTCTGAAGAAAAAGTGTTAGAGTCTTGCTTGTTTATTTATTGCATTTCTGTACTCCCCCCATAGCCACAGGGCTTACTGAGAACCCCACCGCTGCTCTATATGTCCCGCTCTCCCGTTCTAGAGGCTGTGTGGGAACAGGTGGATTTTACTCATCACCGAGAGAAAGGTTCTACGTGCATGCTTAGGTAGACAGCGTTATTGCCTTCTCATGAAGTTCTTCTCTGGACCATGACTACCTGTAATAATTGCATTAATTTGCTTTGAAGATTGATGTGCCATCCTTCAGTAAAAAGCTCACATGAAAACACATGCAATAAAATAACTTAATCTATAAAGCCTGCAAGACTAAAACGGCAGAATTAGACTTAATTCCCCTTGCTTTACCAGTGTTTGAACCTGTAATCTATGCCTCCTCTTTTTCATTTCTTGTGGCTTCCCCCCTCACTCTATGGTTCCTTTCTAAGCCTGTCAGTTAATTGGTCTGGTTCTTGTTCTTGGGTTTAATGCGCTGGATCTGTAACGGAGAGCCGACTGGGTAGTTATTCCTCCTTGCAGATTAACTCTGTGATGCTAGAGGCAAGGTATGCTTGGAGGTAATCTTTTTGTGTTAGCTGCTGTTCAACATCATTCATATGTTCCTGGGATAAGTTCTGGTTCTGCCCTTTGATGAGATGCTTTTGGGGCTTTACTCATGGACTACCTTTTGTTCCCCAGGCTAACAATGAAGAGGCAGCAAAAAAGCACCGTCAGCTTGTGGATGCACTCAGCACCTTGTCTGGAGGGAAGCGGTAAGCAAGAAAGGAAGCAGTGTTGGTGCTTCTAGAGAAACAGACTTGGAGCCAGCGATCCGAGTCTCTCGCCTTCCCTCTGCATTCCCAAACTGATGGCTCTCTTTCTTGCAGACAGCGAACAGTTGAGCGAACTGAGGCAAGTGGTCACATCTCTGAATTCAGTGTCGGTGGTGCAGGTGAGAGGGCTTTTTTGTGTGCTTTTTTATACGATGGTGGTCTTTATTCTCTATTTAGCAATATTACATTACTCACGTTAAAGAAACTTTGTAGTGTGTGGAGAGCTTTTCAATTCACCAGTGTCACTAGAGGCATGATGAGCCAGGACACTTCTCGCTGGTTTAGGCTGACATAGGAGCTATCTGGACAGAGATAATCCGAAGTGTGATCTGATGAAGCAGAGAGTGTCCATGAAACCTTAAGCTAGAAAAAGTGTCTGCTGTCACAAGACTTTTTGTTGTTCTTGCATGGGCAGAGCAATCCTATGACCCTAAACAGAATTTGAAAGTCAGAGATCTTTGTGGGGACCCTCCTGGTCACAAGGGAGGAACAAACCATTGTGCCAGCGGCTTCTGCAAAGTCAGAAGAGCAACCTTGGGGAAGGGGATTAGTGATCATTTTGGGAGCCTGGGGCAGGGAGAAGACTGGCCCCACCAGGACACAGCACATCCCGATGGTTCCAAGCCTCCTCCCTTGTCCCATGGAACCTACACAGTCCTGGTCTCAGCAGAGTACAAACTGCAGCAGGCAGCTCAGTCTGTTCTAGTGTCATCCTAAGTTGCTGTTCGCTGCAGGCACAGGTGAGAAAGTACTTCTCTCGGAGCTGCTGCAGCCCATTTCCGCCTCGCCAGCTCTGCGCCCCATTCGAAAACAGCTGAACAAAGCCCAGCAGAAAAAGGCCACTGAGCTCCCACTCAGCAAGACGGAGAGCGAGCGGGTGAGTTTGCACTTGGGGAGATTTCCCAGTCTTGTACCCTCCAGGCATGCAGGACTTCTAATTTGTGTCAGCCCTGCCAGCCTGGCCAACCGCTAGGAAGGCTGGGCATTATAGATCAAAATATCTGGCAGACAGCAGGTTGGGCAAGATTAGTTCAGGGGGCAGGTAGTGGGGCTGGCAGGAGGGAGGGAGAAGAGGGAAGGCAGGAAGGCCACAGGAACGGGGAGATGAAGAGGAGGTTCAAAGTGACTTAGAACAGAAGCCCAGCAATGCAATAGAAATGAATGAAGAATTGTTCCATCAGGGGTTCTTAGGCGTAAGAAACCCTTGTGGCAGCATCCTACTAATGAGGGAATGCATGGGGAAAGGCACCATCATGCCCTGATTCGACATCTGGTTGGGTCCTGTTGGAGATGGAATGTGGTACTAGTGGAATTTAAGGCAGTCCTGCAAGAAATTTTCTCTGCTCTTATGAGCAAGAAAGGTTTGTGGGTGCAGATACGCCTTGGGTGTGCTGTTGACCGGATAGCTTCCAATGTATTCTACAGCGAGGAAAAGGTATCTAGCCACATTGCAGCCTGCTGTTAAAGGGTACATGACATTCAGACTCCAGGTGCCAGATTGGATCTTCTCCTGGCTGATGTGCATGCGACGCATCAACTTCACATGTCGGGACAGCATCCTAAAGGGCAACCACAAATTTTGGCTGGTAACACCACAGTATCTTTGAGTGTCACTACAATGGGTTCTTGCAGTTCACACTCGACAACTCCAGGGCCTCTTTCGTGGTGCTAGGCTGCTGCTGAGCACGGCTGTATTTGTCTTTCCCTGTAGGTGGTGAGGGAAGCTGCTTACACCCAGACCTCTCAAGCGCTGGCAAAGTGGGATCCGGTGGTGCAGCAGAACCGGCAAGCTGAACAGCTGATCTTTCCACTGCAACAAGCGGGTGTGGCTGCCGCACCCGTCGAGGAAGTGATAAGTGCTTGGCAGGTGGGTGTTCATAGGCCTTAAGTCAGCCACATTTCACTGACCTTTAACTATGGCTCTGCTAGCCTGAAGTCCAGTGTGGCCAGAGAAAACTAGAAAATACGGGGGCAGAAAAAGCACATTTTTTAAAGGCTTTTTCTGGGATTTTCCAGTGCTTGAAAGGAAATGATGGTTCTTTCAGGTAGGGAGCTGTAAGTCTAAGCCTCCCCACTGCCTGCACTTTCATCTGTCTAGTCAAGTGGTTGGAAAGTTTGATTTGGATATTTGAGTTCTGAGCTCAAGTGTGAGAGAAATGGTGTGGCAGTCTGGTTTCTAGTCCCTGGTCAGCCATGGAGCCAACAGGGTGACCTTGGGGCAGTCACAGACTCTCAGCCCAGCCTACCTCACAGGGCTGTTGTGAAGATAAGTATGAGAATAGGACGGGGAGAATTACATGAACTTATCTCAGCAGTGCCTCAGACCAACCAACCCCAATACCAGCCAGAAGAAAACGGCTGCCGGGTTGCCAAGGGGGCTGGTGGAGAGGCTAAGCCAGGTGGGAGAGAAGACTGGCAGGGTGGGAGAGCCAGTGCCCCCATGTTTGCGAAGGAAGTCCAGGGCCACTGTCCAGGGCTGCATTCTTCAGGGCGGACCATTAATGCTCACCTTCAACTAAAGCAGGCTATGGAATGTGCTTCCCCAGGAAGGTTCACCTGGCACCAATGTCATATGCTTTTGGTGCCAGGTCAAGGCCTTTTTATTTACCCAATATTTTAAAATCTAAATATTTAATTATGTTTTTATCCTCAGTCATGTGTTATTATGTTGTATTTATTAGGTTATTATATTGTATGGCACCCAGAGACGAACTGTAATGGACGGGTTAGAAATACCCTAATAAATAAATTAATTAAAGCAGGCAAGCCAAGTCAGCTAAAACGAAACCTTAACCAGCACTCCTGTCCCCTACGTGCATTAACCATTTGGGACAGAAAAGGGTCCTACAGCTCACAGGATTCCCCATATTGGCTGGGGAAGACTGGGAGCTGCGGGGCATTTCCCTGTCTGAACACGCAGCATAGCGCTTCCCATCCGTGATGCGCACCACTCTCTGAGGGTGGAGGCGCCTTGTCCCCGGGGCGTGGAGTGCAATGTAGCAGCTGTGGGTTGCTGCGCCCTGCACGTCCTCTTGACGGCCGCCTGATGCCCCAGGAGCACTACAGAGCAGGAGGGAAGGAGATGGCGGCACTCCTGCATGCAGTGTGAGCGGCCAGCTCCTCGCCTTGTCTGTCCGTCCCCCAGTGCACCCCTTTTGCTCTCCTCCAAGGCCACCAGTTTCCAATCTGGAGGAGGTCGCCTGCAGGGTACTGGCTGTGAGGGGAGCTGGGCAGGGGCTTCATGTTCACCTTGCGGTTGCAGGACGTTGGAACAGGGCTCTGGAAAATCCTCTGCCCTGCTAGACAGTGGCAGGAAGCCACAGGATCGCACCCCTAGTAACTCTTCAGCCAGTTGTTTTCTCTCCCCTGCAATGGGTTTCAACTACTGGGTGTTGCTTGTTCCATCACAGACAGTAATCGCAACGGCATTTCAGTGGAAGAAAAATACTCCTCTGCCGCATGCTGAATGTTTCCATAGGATGCAGGACATTGCAGTCGGCTGCAATTCTGTGCCCCCTTGCATGTGAATGTGGCGCGTCTGAGGACTCCCAAGTGAACTTTTGTGGATCCCACTGCTCCGTTATTCCACTCAAGCTTGGAAGAGCCAAGCAGCTGAGGACAAGTTTTTGACAACATTCCCCACATTCCCGCTCCTGCATCTTGTTACATTTAATGTTGATCCAAGGCTTCGGTCTCAGTCTTAGCGCAATCCTTCTTGGGATTGTTTCGATGCTGTTTATGGTTCTGGGGCACTAAAAAACTGGAAGTGCAACATAAAAGGAAAAGGTGTCGACAAACCACTTCCCCTGGTTGCAGTGCCCATTCCAGAACAATCCCTTTAACAGTGTTTCCTTCCTGCCACCCTGTTTTGCTGTCTATGGGGGGGGGGGTGTGCGCGCGCGCAAAGGACAGAGGAGCATGTGCATGTACACACATGTGCGCACGTGCACTCTCTCGCACGTGCATTCTCTCCCCCCTCCCAGCTTCACCCAAGGCAAGCAAACCTCTAGCTGGGTTAGCAGGCCGCTACTGCTTTCCCTCAATATTGCTTTTTTCAATGTTTAGCAATGCAGCAACGAATTTATCCTTACTCTATTACTATTGCAACTTTATTATTACTACATATTCCTTTTTCCATGCGTATGGAGGCTTATCTATACTTTCTCCTCCTCCATTTTTATCCTCATAACAAGAACCTTGTGAGATATGTTAAAAGTAAGAATTGCTGACTGGCCTGGAGACACCCAGAGAGCGTCATGGCTGAGCAGGGACTAGAACCCAGAACTCCCCAGTCCCAGTCCAGCACTTTAACCCCTACACCACACTGGCTCTCCAGTGTGGTTGGAGCTTCTTCCTCCGTGTTCTTCCATGCCCAGGCACGGACACCCCTGGAGCAAGAAATCTTCAGTCTCCTCCACAAAGCCCACCAGCCTGTGAAGGATCCACTTCTGACGCCCCAGGAGAAGGCCTCATTGCAGGCCATGAGCCTGGAGGAGGTGAGTCCTGACCCACCCAGCATGGTTCTCCTTGCCTGCCCCCTCCTCTGCTCCAGGCTCTGCTGTAACTAGCCCCTTTGTGTATGTTTCAGGCTCAGATGCGCCGGAGGGAGCTCCAGAGGGCTCGGGCCGTGCAGTCCTACTATGAGGCTAAGGCCCGTCGTGAACGAAAGATCAAAAGTAAAAGGTAAGGGGTCGCAGGGGCCCTAATAGCCATTGATAGGGTTCTCCATGAATTTGTCTAATCCCCCGTAACACCATCCAGCTTGGTGGCCATCACTGCATCTTGTGGAAGTGTATTCCATCCCTTAATTGCGTGCTCTGTAAAGACATGCTTTTATCTCTCCCGAATCTCTCATCAGTCACTGTCCTTGAGAGAGAGAGAAATGGCTCCCGATCCACTCTCTCTGCCTTCCCGCGTTCAGGAGGTAATGGGATTCCCTTTGCCTGTGATGGTGCTGTGTTTCCTTCTGCGAAGGTACCATAAGGTGCTTCGGAAGGGCAAGAGCCGCAAGGTGCTTCAGGAGTTCGAGGCGCTGCGTAAATGCAACCCAGAGGCAGCCCTGGAACAGCTGGAGAAGGTGGAGAAAGCCCGTGTGGAGGTGAGGCAGCCTTCTTTCCGTGGTGCCGAGAAGAGGCCTCTTCGCACTGTGGGATGCTCAGGGCTGCTCAACTGATACTTCTCCCGTGTTTCTCTGAACAGGAGAGAATGTCCCTGAAGCACCAGAACAAGGGCAGGTGGGCTAAATCGACAGTCATCATGGCGAAGTACGATCTGGAGGTGAGGGGATGTTGCAGGGGGAGATAAACGAGATTAATCAGCTAAGCAAGCAGGGCAGGTGCTCGAGAAGTATTTGCTCGAGACGAAATGCATCTTCTAGAGAGGGGCTGCCTTGCGTCAAGACTTCAGGCTCTTCCCACACAAGTGTTCCAAGTGAACAACCCTGTCCGTGCTCAGATACCGTGGGGAAGTGCTGCAGCTCCCAGCTTGACAGGCTGAGGAATGCTGGGAACTGTAGGCCTTCTCGCTGTCTAGACATTCGTACTATCGATGCTCTAGGCTGCTTAAAATCTGTGAGTGACGTAGGATGGTGAAAAGTTGACTCTCTGCCCCACAAGCTGGTGTGGTTTCATTCTTTTTTAATCCAGTGATAAGCGAGTCAACAAATCAATTACCATATTCCTGGTCTATATTACACAGAATTGGCTTTCTACCAGAAAGTACCCATTTCCGTCCTTCATGGAAGAAAAAGTAGCTAGTAAGGAATTATTGTAAGCATTGGTTATACTGTTAATTTTCGTCCTAGAAGATAAATATTAATATTAATAATTATTTAATAATCAATTAAATATTAAGACATCTTTGAAAGCTACTTTGATGGTCCCCTTGGGACTGAAAATGTGGAACATTTGTCCGAAACAGGCAGAAAATAGACCAGGATTTACTGGTGGATTGCTGGACAATTTGCTGTGGACTGACAAGGTTGCCGACTGGCAGCTGTTTAACAATAGAAACAATGGAGCGGTCCCTCCACCCCCCCACACACGAACACAAAACTAGGCTGTTAGAATCCCAAATGTGTAGGAACTGTGTATCTGATTTGTCATCTCCTCCGGGGATGCAATAGGCCTAAGAGCCTTAGCTTGAGAAGAATGCCTCTGGTTCTAGTCTGGAATAATAGGAATCCCTGCGTGTTGGTGGCCAGATGCCTAACACTTGGCTTGCCTATTCAGGCGAGATGCACCTGGGCGGGCGGGCCTTGGTTTTCTTAATACATTAATTCAATAGTAGCCATGCGGTTGAAGGCTGTGGTCGCATCTGCAGCCACGAGGGGCAGACTTCCCCATCCAGTACGTAACTTTGTGGTCGAAACAGTTCGCAGCGTGTAGAGATGAGTAGGCCGAGAAACAGAATGATATACCTACCCCTGCCTGCTGAGTGGCAGCACCTTTAGGAAAAGGAGCAGACGGACTGGTCCCTTAAGAGGCTGTAGTGGCCATGCCTGGGGGTTTGAGCAAGCAGGCCTCACTCTACCAGATGCAGCACACAGTTTATTTATTCCTTTATTTAAAGCTTTTATAAACCGTCCCATTAGTAACATCTCGGGATGGTTTGCAACATAACATGCATAAGTTTGCCTGAAGGGTCACTGTATGAACTATCCCAACCTAAGCAAAGCCAGGTCCATTCTCCAAGGGGAAATAGATCCTGCAAGGCTTGAAAAGCTCATCCACGTGTGCCGTTAATCAGCACAAACTTGCTCCTCCTACCTAGGCCAGAAAAGCCATGCAAGAGCAGCTGGCCCGAAACAAAGAACTGACACAGAAAGTCCACCTGGCATCCGACAACGAGGAGGCAGGCAATGGCTCGGAAGAGGAGGAAGGTCTCATCCCGGACGTCGTCAATGAAGGGCAGGCTGGGATGCATCTGGACAACCCCTGGATGTTGGGGAAGCGCCCCACGGAGGCCGAGAAGGACCTGCCAGCTCCGCCAGAGAGCAGTGAAGAGAGTGAGGGAGAGGGGCCGCCTGTGTCCACAGAGGAGGCCCTGCTGCAAGGCTTTTCCGAACGCCGGCAGGGCCTGCAAAGTTTACAGGACAGCGCGGAGCTCGAGGGTGAGCTGACTTGGGGGCGGGCAAGGGCGGCTGCAGCCTGACCACCTCATCTAATCTCGGTTCTGGGTCTTGAGAAGGCGTCTGTTTGCGTGGGAACGATTCAGCAGAGTTCTCTGCAGTTTTACAAGAACGAAGTCTAGGAGACTGTTCCCCACAACTTGTCACGGGGAAAGGAAAAGGGAAATGAGTTGGTTTGGCTTTGGGAAAGAAGAGCATGAATAGGGCAGGGTATATTTATGGCTCTGGCTCACTGGTGGGGCCTTTCGCTGCACTGACTCTGTGCAGCTCCATCTGGGGTGCAGGGCTTCCGCTACATACCAGATCCTGGGAGGTGCTGCATGAGAGAGGGCTGTGGCTTCCCAGAGGCAGTGGGTCGGCCCCTGTGCGGAGCAGGCTGCTGGGCCTTTCCTCTGTCCCGGGAGCCCCTGCTCACGTGGATGCGAACTGCTGATCTTGCCACAGGTCCGAACGAAGAGGAGACCCTGCCCTTGCTGCTGCCTGGCCCGCTTCCTCCAGCGCCCCTGAGCCCGGTGCCGGAGGGGCCCCTCTTGAGTGAGACGCTAGCACGGCTTCGCACCCCAGGCGATTTGGAGGCCCTGGAGGCGGAGGACGTTCTGCAGGAAGGCAAGGTGCCGCCGCTTGAGGATGCCGAGCTCCAGCAGCCTGCGGGAGCTGTGCCGTCGCCGCAGGCCCAGGGCAGCAGGCCGGCAGCCCCCAAGAAGGCGGCCAAGCGCAAGGCACTGGCTGATCTGAAGGCGCACTTTGCGGAGGCGCCGCTCGTTGTGCAGTGCCCGCTGGTGCCTGCCGCTGTCCAGGAGGAGGCGGAGGAGGAGGTGAGAACTCCTGGGAAGGGGCAGGGCTGGCCCATGCGGAGGGGTTACTGTGGACAATTCCTTTTTGGAAGTGCCGCATTTTAAAAGAGAAAGCTCCTCACAGCCACTGCGAGGCTATTTGCTTCATGTGTCGGGTCAGTTTTGTCTGGAAATACAGCGGGGTTCTTTGCTGACCTGAGTGGTCCTTGGTTGATCTTGTTCCCCATTTTCTCCTGGAGATGAGCACAGATCAGCGGCAGGTGATCCAGGAGGCCTTTGCCAGTGACAACGTTGTTGCTGACTTCATGAAAGAGAAGCGGCAAGCAGAAGAGGCCGGGAAGCCAAAAGCTATTGACCTGGTGCTGCCTGGATGGGGCGAATGGGGAGGTGCTGGGTTGCGCCCAAGCCTCAAGAAGAGGAAGCGGTAAGCTGGCAAATGATGCCACCAGGCTGCAGCAGAGGGGGATGTGTTGGAGAGCATCCCTGCTGAAAGACCCCTTAATGTTTGCCTTTCTTGTGTGCCATTTATTTTAGATTGTGATCCTTTAGGCAAGAATTGTCTAGCTTAACTGATTGCATGTAAAAGGAGCTCTTTTGGCTTTGCAGCAGGATAAAAAGACCTCATATTTGTCGCCACCCACTGTGTTGCCTGCATCTTACATTGTTTTGGTCCTTCGTTAGGTTCATTATTAAACCTGCACCAGGACCCCAACGGAAAGACCGACACCTGCCTCATGTTATCTTGAGTGAACAGCGCAATATTTTGGCTGCGGCTCATCAGGTGAGTCTGTCACTCCGCCCCGGGAACAGCCTGCCCTTCCTGCCACGTGTTCTTTAAAATTAAGCCATGTAATTGTAACCGAGAGGGACCATCGCGTGGGAGTGGACTGCCTGTGTCGCATCCTTGGCATCTCCAGGTTAGGACTAGAAAAGGGCATTACTCAGCTGCTGAAGAGCCATGGCTGCCAGTCAGTGTTGACAGTACTGAACTAGATGGGCCACAAGCCTAGCTCAGCATCAGGTGGCTTCCTTATAGCTTCCTGTAAGGTAGATTCCTAGGCATTTTGCAGCTATTTCTTTTGGATTTCTGTTCCCTTCTCATATTTTTATACAGATTATTTTTATCTGCTTGGAGCTTTTGAAGGTATGCAGGCACGATGTAACTTTAAAATGCTTAGCATTAGCAGCATGACTCTTCCCCTTTGCTCCCAGGGAGCGCTAGTTTCTTGTGCAGGTGGTAGTGATTCCAGTGCTGAACTCTTTAAGAGAGACGGGATCAAGTCCCCACATGGCTGTAAAATACCCCACAGTGGTGCTGTGGGGATAAAGCCAAGAAGGGGAGGAGCACCATGTAATCTGCTTTAGGCTCTTGGCAAGAGAGACGGCCACCAAAAGGGATGTCAGAGTTGTGTCTGTATTGCATCCAGCTTTCCCCTGCAAACATCCTTTTTCTTCCAGGTGAACCAGCTGCCCTTCCCTTTTGAGAATAGCAAGCAGTTTGAGCGCAGCATCCAAGCGCCCGTGGGCTCCACTTGGAACACTCAGCGTGCTTTCCAGCGACTGACGGCTCCCCGAGTTGTCACCAAGCCCGGCCACATCATCCGCCCAATCACTGCTGAAGACGCCAACTTGACCCGTCAAAGGAATGGGACCAAAGACATGAGGGAGAAGCCAGATTTGGAGCTAACCCTTCCTCCCGCTAAGCATCCCACCCGTCGTACCTCCAAGAAGAAGGCCCGGTAGAACTAATGCTAGGCTACCTTTGCCATTGCAGGCTCCCGCTTTAGCCCAGCCTTTTCCACCTTGCACCCATCCAGATGTTTGGGATATCAGCTCCAGGCAGCACAGCAAAAGATCATGGTTGCTAGGGGGTGTACTCCAGAACATCTGGAGGGTGCCAGCTTGGGGGAAGCTGCCTTAGTCAAACAGGTATCTTGTTGACACTGCCCAAAACTGTTCTTCTACCTCTGCGCAGGCCTCTCCAACATGGTGTGCTCCAGATGTGTTAGATTATAACTCCTGTCTCTCACAGGCATGCTTTGTGTTTCTCCCCCTTTGATCTTCACATCCTTTCCTGAGTTCATGGGTTTCCCCAGGGTACAGTTTCTCAGAAGCCTCAAGTACTTTCCAGAGTCCCTGCCAACTTCGCACGGGCTGGTATTGTCTCTGCACTGTTTCTGCCGTAACGAAAGAAACTGGTCCTGTTGCTTTGTCTGTGCAGCCAATTCCTACTTAATGGAAGAAGAAGAAAAGAGGCAGAAGTCATTTGCTGTAGGGACTTGGTGGCAAAACCGAACAGAGAAAAGGGTCCGGGGCTTGCAAAGGTATCAGTCTGACAGACATACATCTGAGTCCCAACAATTTTGAACCCAGGCCTTTCTCAAGGATGAATTATTTCTAAAATGAAATGGGGCGATTGGAATCTGATTACCCATTCAAGAATAATCCTTTATATCTAAACTCTCTATACCTACTTAGACTCTCACACACATACACCCCTGTGTAAATAAAAATGTTGAGAAAGTTGTGAGGAATAACGTTCTTGCAGTGGCTTTTATGTTGGTCTGTCTGAAGTCCCATTTGTTCTGATGGGTTTATTCTTACATCATACTAATGTTGGCTAAAGTCCACTGCTCTGTCTTATTCTTAAGCACTTATATTTGCTTAGATCTTTGTTTCTTCCTAGGTGTAAATCCACTTCATCCCATCATGGGTGCATCTCCCACTTAAGAGTTGGTGTCTGAGGTTCCCTGAGTACTTATGTATTAATAATACAGGCCATTCTGTTGATACTTCCCTCTACCTTGTGGGTAGAAATGGGGGCCAGAGGGCGGAACGTGCATGATTAGAAGCGACAACTCCAAGGCAAATAGCTTCTGTCCTGGCTCTAAAGACACACGCGCATTTTTCAGAGTTGCACCGTTGCCCACAATCCCCGGCAGCACGGGAGCAACTTGCTTCAGGGGGGAATGGCAATGCCTGCTGTTCTGCAGCCTGTCAACAAGCTAGACTTGATGTTGATTGTGTGAATATAATTAATGTGCACTTTTTAAAAGAAGTAGGTGTGGGAGAAGTGTGGATGTGGCTGAATGTATTTTCAGTGATCATCAGGTAAGGTTTCTTTAGTTGTTTGTGGCTTCTTGACTAGGAGGAACAGGATACATTTTGCAAACTGAGCTGCTGGATACAAATCTAACTTAATTGTATCATTTTTTATGGTGGTGGTAGAATTCTACTTCCCTTGATGTCATTTTTATTTATTGCTTACCACTGTTCCTGCTTCAGGGACAGAGTTGGTGAGTCAGTGGTCCTACTTTTTGTGGGGGCTGGAACTCAGCTTCTGCCTTTCTCCTCTGTGGTTCCGTCACAAGCAGAGCGCTCTAAAACTGCACTCCAGGGCAGCGGTAGGCAGACTTCGGCCTTGTGCAGCCTATTCTTTGCTAGATTCTCAAGGTCTGCCGACTGCATCCATGTACAAACCACTGGCCAGGATGCTGGGAACGGAGCCAGTTGCCTACCACACCCATGAGGTATTCATCCACATAACCTGCACATTGTTTTCTCTAGTAACAAGCTGGTAAATGTTAAAGGACTGGAGTCAAACTGGAGTCAAAGGGGGAAGAGGAATCCCCATGCTCTGAAGTTCACGGAAGTTAATAATTTTAGGCAGAAAACAAAAGAGAGAGGCCAAAAGCGTGTCCGTTGAGCCTGGTAGTCACAGGGGAGAAAATGGGAGCAGAAGAACAAAAAATGAATGCCTTCATTCAGGGAAAGACTGGCTGGACTCCTCAGCAGGCATATGCTCTTTAGCTGAGAGGAGGCACTGTAACATTTTGTTGCAGATTTCACTGAAGACAAATCTGTATGCAAGGGGTTTCTAACAAAACTACAAGGATATCGAGGGCTGTGTGCTATTGAGTTTCTATTTACAAGTGAGGAGCAGTGAGGCTGGGACATACGCAATCAGCACAACACAGAATGGTATTTTACAGCAATTTTTAGCTGCTGCTGTGAAAATATTTGCAGGCCACAAACTACTGATCTAATGAGGCTAAAGCTTCTTGTTACACAGAGCATTTTTATGGACCACCTGAATAAGGAATTTAGGTTTTAGTTTATATTGCCTCCTGTACCCTGAAATAAGGCTTGGGGCCATTCCAAGTCACGTATTTTCATGAACAGGTGACTCCTGTCCAAGATATTCCAGCATTTTTTCAGCCCAACACATTATTTTCAAATAGTGTATTTTAACATATGATGCCACAGAACATGCCTAGGAATAAGCAGCAGGTATAGCCCAAAATAACTTATGAGCCACCCAAAACACCAACTAGAAGATTGTCCTCTACTAGTGTTGTTATATTTAGAAACCTGTCAATATTGCAGGAAAATCTTAGTTTTTAATAAGCCCCACAGCCTTTCAGAATTTTTTGTAATGTAATGCTAATTTGACTTTAATTTTAGTGAGCTGTCTTAGGCATTTCTATGAATCGGGAAAGCATAATACACTTGCTTGCAATGCCCCAAGATTTTGAATTATAGACATTTCTGTGCTGAAAGAAATGCTGAAAGAGGGCCAGTGTGGTGTAATGGTTAAGAGTGTGGGACTCGGGCAACCTGGATTTTAGTCCCTACTCAGCCATGGAGTCAGCTGGGTGACTTAGAGCCAGTCACAGACTCTCAGCCCAAGCTAGCTCTCCGGGTTGTTGGGATAAGATATGAGAACAGGAGGAAGAGAATTGTGTAAGGTGCTCTGAATGTGTTGTAAGAAAAAAAGGCAGAATACAAATCAAGTAAATAGTAAATATGGGTGTACTGCATTAATCAGAACAAAGAAAACTTCAGAGCAAGTTATTGCAGGTAAAAAACAGTTCAAGCACAACCAGAGAAAAGAGAGGGCTTGCATATTGGACGTGCTTACCATTGCTGGGAAGCATCGGGACTTGGGCGTTCAGCATGGGTCAGAGCCTCCAGCTGGGGGTGCAGGGAGCTTCCGCCCCACTCCACTGAGTTGGCTGGGACCTGCTCAGCTCACACCTTGTGGGAAGGGACCGGGACAGGCCTTCCAACTGGAACGCCCAACACAGCACTGAGTCTCAGACCACTCTGGTATTTTAGAAAGCTGCTGCCATTGAGAAGCTCCCTGGTGACTTTCGGCCAGTCACTAACTCGGCCTGACCTACCTCACAGGGTTCTTGTGAGGATAACATGAGATATAATCGTGCAAGTCATCTTGGGCATCTTGCCAAAAATTGGGATAGAAATTTTATTTAAGTTTACAGACCACAACCTATAGCCCTAATTAGGGCTCTCTGGGTGGTGGAAATTCCATTAAATCAACAATAAAATAAAAGATGTATTTCAAAACAAAGTTGCAATAAGGCCAGGTATGGCAGCTGAGAACTTAGTTCACAAAAATATGTACAGTATAAAATATTGACAATAAAATTATTTTACCTAGAAAATAAAACAGACTTTGCCTGGCGCCAAAACACTAGTACCGAAGGTGCCAGGTAAACGAGCTTGGAGAGCCTATTCTGGAAGTGCCACACAACCACCAAAAAGCCCCCCCCCCATTTGTCACCCCCCTCACCTCTTTGGGGAGTGGTCCTTCAAGAAGAGCCCCTGACTCAGATCTGAAGGGTGGGCCAGGGACCTATGGGAAATATGATAAATACTAAATGAGAAGTGTGCTACACAACTAATACAACAAATTGAACGAGGCAACAAGTGCAAGTTAAAATGCAGTGTGATGTTGTGGATAAGAGTGTTGGGCAGGGATTGAAGACACTCAGCCTCTAGTCCTCATTCGGTCATAAAGCTCACTGGCCCAAGACCACCCTATCCTACCTCGTGCCTCTCGTGAGAGCAAAATTTTTTTATTATTTATTAAAACATTTTTATGCATGGCAGGAAGATCATGTGTGCTCCACAGCTCCTTAGAGGAAAGGTAAACATAGCAAATAAAATGCTAATTATATTCCAGTTAATGCCTGGGTGCCTGCCTGTAACACACACTTCCTACAGGCATGACTGGTGGGGTGGGAAAGATGTGGAAGCCCAGAAAAGCTTAAGTAGACAGAACCAACGCAGAGGACATTGGAAGCTGCTATATCACACCATAAAAGTCACACCATTTATTTCGTCCATCATTGTTGGTACAGTCTTCTCCGGCGGGGGGCGGCACTTTGGGCCGCAGCACCCAGAATTTCTGACCATTACCCAGGCTGGCTGGTGCTGAAAGGAGATTTACTCCCAAAGGCTTTGGAGGGAAAAGCCAGCCCACTCTGTTTGTCCACAGCTCTCAGGCAGAGGCCTTTCCCATCTACTGATAATCTAGACATGATAATGAACGGCAATGCCAGGAATTGACTTGGGGATTTTCTCGGGGCAACACGTGCCCTTTATCACTGTGCTGCAGACTTTCCCCAAAGAGATAACTGCCAACCCTTTTCATGGACGGCCACCCAGTCCATCTTTCCTGATTGATGGCGCTACGCAACCACGTTTGCTCTCATACCTTCATGTATACTCTGCCTCTTTCTTATGCCTTTCTCGCTTGGCATCCGGGAAGCACGATAGCTTTCAGCTGAGGGGAGGGTTCTGATTTGGGAACCCTTTTTCTCCAAGCCATGATTTGAAAGAAGGTGGAACTGGAGGGACATACTTGACAGAGCAGGAAATGGACTTTTACATGCTCAGAAGCTGTCTTTTTCTTGTGTCTGACGTTCCCACTGCCATTAAATTCAAAAAAAGATTTCAGGGCTGTATCCTCCTGGATAAGACCATGACCTGGTTGAAAAAAATGACCTCAGCAGCTACAGAATAAATCAGGGTGGGGAATTTATTTCACCTTGCATGATCCTCCACCATTGCTTCGTGGGACTTATAGGATGTGTATAGGGTACTGTATGACCCCTCACCACTGCACCTGCGACACTGCAGGTCCCCCACCCCTTAGATAAATAGTGAAAGGTAAGAATGGTAGAACTGATGAGAGCGCTTTTTCTACAACTGGATTGGCAGTTACCACATGCATCTCTCCTGAAAAGCTGTAATTTTAGACTTGGGAGTGACCTCCGAAGTCACCCGTCTGCCTTCCCCAACTCCAGATGCTTTGGACTTCAGTCCCCATCACTCCCAGCCAGCTTGGCCAATAGTCAGGAATGCCGAGGTTAAAAGGCTATTACCTCTGAAGGACGCCAGAGTGCATAATGCTAAGACAAAGTCACAATGGCAAAGCACCTGGATCGTTATACGGGATGCCCATTGGATTCATGGGGTCTCAGGTAGATTCTGACAAATCCTGCCTGAAAGCCAGGGAGTCCGTGCCAATCAGTGACGGCAGTCCTGGGTTGGATGGACCAAGGGTCTGGCACGGCCTAAGGCAGCTCTGTATTCCTAACCCCCTACTCAGTGCAGAATTTATAGGCTGGGAACTTGCAACTACAGCAGGGATGGACAAACCTGGGAGCTGCAGGGCAAAACATCTGTAAATTTCACCATCCCTTACCGATGGCCATCCA